ACCACAAATGTTGATTTTTCCCAGTTAATTTCAGTCTTTATTGATTCATATAGAATTTGAATAATAAAGATAAAGATAGGCAAGTTTAAGGATTATTTTCATGTTTCTATACTTGTTTTAAATTATAACATACATAAATGTGTTTGAATTTATAACCACAAATTCATTCATTCATTCATTTATTCATTTATTTATTTATTTGTTTGTTTGTTTGTTTGTTTGTTTTTTGAGACAGGGTTTCTCCATGTAGTTTTGGTGCCTGTCCCAGATCTCACTCTGTAGACCAGGCTGGCCTCGAACTCACAGAGATCTGCCTGACTCTGCCTCCTGAGTGCTGTGATTAAAGGCTTTTGCCACCACCACCTGGCCTATAAACACAAATTTAAATGTGCAAAAAAAAGAAAGAGAGAGAGAGAGAGAGAGAGAGAGAGAGAGAGAGAGAGAGAGAGAGAAAGGAAGGAAGGAAGGAAGGAAGGAAGGAAGGAAGGAAGGAAGGAAGGAAGGAAGGAAGGAAGGAAGGAAGAAGGAAGGAAAAACCTACTAACAAATAAACAAAAACCTTTACATGGAGCTGGGTATGGTGGTCCATGCTATTTGGAAAGCAGAGGCAGGAGGATCAGTTCAAGGTCATTCTTAGCTTATGTTTGAGTTTGAGACCAGCCTGGGCTACATTAGATCCTGTCTTAAAGAAAGCAACAAACAAGCGAAGCTCCAGAGAGACTGAGCAGATAACTCAGTTTTAAAATGCTGTTGTGCCAGGCTTGCACAAGTAGGTTTGATCACTGGCACCCATGTAAAAGCCAGGCTTGGCAGTGGTGTGTACCTATAGTCTTTGGGCTTGGGAGGAATACACAGGAAGATCCCTGGGGTTTGCTGGCCAGCCGGGCTAGCTGAATCAGAGAGCTCCAGGATCAGTAAAAAACCCTGTCTTAAAAAATAAAGTTGAGCACAAGATCTGGTCCCACTGCCTGGATGCCTCCCAAACAGATCAAGCCAATCAACTGTCTCACCCATTCGGAGGGCCTGATCCAGTGGGGACCCCTCAGGCATTGGTTCATAGTTCATGTGTTTCCATTCCTTTGGCTATTTGTCCCTGTGCTTTATCCAACCTTGGTCTCAACAATTCTTGCTCATATAAACCCTCCTCATTCTCGTTAATTGGACTCCCAGAGATCCACCCAGGGCCTAGTCATGGATCTCTGCATCCAGATCCCTCAGTAGTTGGATGAGGTTTCTAGCACAACAATTAGGGTGTTTGGCCATCCCATCACCAGAGTAGGTCAGTTCGGGCTGTCTCTCGACCATTGCCGGCAGTCTGTTGTGTGGGTATCTTTGTGGATTTCTGTGGGCCTCTCTAGCACTTTGCTTCTTCCTGTTCTCATGTGGTCTTCATTTACCATGGTCTCCTATTCCTTGTTCTCCCTCTCTGTTGTTGATCCAGCTGGGATCTCCCGCTCCCCCAAGCTCTCTTTCCCTCGACCCTCGCCTTTCATTACCCCCACTCATGTCCAGGCTGTTCATGTAGATCTCATTCCATTTCTCTGTCATTGGGCGATCCCTGTGTCTTTCTTGGGGTCCTGTTTTCCAGGTAGCCTCCCTGGTGATGTGAGTAGCAGACAATTCATCCTTGTTTCATGTCTAGTATCCTGCTATGAGTGAGTACATACCAGGTTGACCTCAGTCTGTGGGGAAGGCTTTGCCCTGGAGGAGATGGGAATGGTGGGGGGGCGTTGGGGGGAAGGTGAGGGGGATGGGAGGGGGGAGAACAAGGGAATCCATGACCGATATGTAGAACTGAATTGTATTGCAAAATAAATTAAAATAAATTAAAAAAAAATAAAGTTGAGTTGATTGATGTCTAACTAGAGCCTTGATCTCTACTTAGTAGTGTTCATGGTACTGTCTGCATGCTGCTAGAGGAGGAAGGTAAACATCCGCCCAGCTACAAACCCTGTGATCTACACCAGTGACTTGCTTGCATGATGTACTAGTGCAATAGTGGTTCAAATGTTGTGGGAGTAACCAACCACTGTCTGATTAGGTTTAAGGCCCACTCCATGAGATGGAACCCATGCCCAAAACTGTTTGATTGGCCAAGAACCTGAGACTAGATAGGCCAGGGACCTAGGGGAAAACCAAATACTCTTGTTTTTCTAAAGGAACGTAGCAATAAAATGATTCCTAATGGCATTCCGCTATTCCCATAGATCATTGCCTCAGTCATCACCAGAGAAGCTTCCTCCTGCAGTAGATGGGAACTGATACAGAGACCCACAACTGAACACTGCAGAGTGACAGGTCTTGGAACATTCAGTCTGAAATGGGATGTTTCCATCAGATCTCTCTCCTCAGGGATCGGGGAACTCTTCAGAAAAGGAGGCAGAAAGATCGTAAGAGTCAGAGCAGAGGGAAGACACCAAGAAAACAAACAAGGTCTTCTAGACACAACAGGACTGACGTAGATATGAACTCACAGAGTCTGCAGCAGTAACCCCAAATGGGGTCCCAGCACTGAGAGGGAGAAGTGGACATGAGCTCCCATCTCTAACCAAGAAGCTATCTGTAACTGACCATCACTTGCAAAGGGAAAAATTGATTTTCTCCAAAGATTCTCACGGGGTATGCAAATCACACTTAGGGGCAGGAACCATACCCTACAATAGAAGGTCAACTCAAAACGAACTCAATAATGTTTCCAGAGACTTATTTTGTCTCCTCCTGCTTTCTTTGGGCAGTTTTAATCTTATTGGTCTTTGGCTTGTATATTATGGTTTCTGATTTTGTGTGGTGGTGGTCATGTGTGTGGTGTGCGCGTGCACAGGCATGCACGCATGCACGCATGTGTGCCTGGGTGTGTATGGCTTCCTGTGCTCTTTTGTCTTCTTTTCTTTTCTTTTTTTGGTCTGTTTTCTAAAGAGAGAGAGAGAAAGAAAGCATGGAGTTGGGGAAGTGAGGAGATGGGGAGGGTATGGAGATGAGGGAGGGGAAAACTGGGATCAAAATATACTGTATGAAAAATTATTCTCAAAACAAATTCAGAGGAAAAAACTAAACAAAAAACAAAAATAAGATAGAGACACTGGACATCTACCTCTGGCTTTCATACACACACACACACACACACACACACACACACACACACATACACATACACACACACACAATGCACTTATGCACTTACACATGCATACACACACAATGTGTACTTATGCACTTACACACGCGTGCGCGCACGCACACACACACACACACACACACACACACACACACTCATAATCACAAATATAAAACCTGAAAAACAACAATGACAAAACATCAACTTGGAGTATTCAGTAGAACTAATTATAGGCAAGGTTTGTAAAAATAGCAATGCCTGGGTCATTACGAGGTAGACAGGGCCTAAGAAAAAAATCACAAAGTAGGGTAGGAGGTCCCCAAGGAAGGCAAGAGCCACTGGGGTGACAGCTGCCACCAGCACCCACACTGACCACCACCCTCCCTAACTTTTGCTTCAGGTCCAGTCTTCCCTGCAGCCACCAGCAGGTCAGAACCTCAGGCACAAAAGTTTCCACAAGATAAAGCAGGAGCAGCGACCTTTCTCCCAGAACCCTGAGCGTCTCAGTTACAGTTTTTACCTGAAGAGCTGATGCTTGGTAGAGTCCACCATCAGGGACCCCCCCCCCCCCACCTTCAATGGAAGCTGAATTTTCTTTAAAAAATGCCATGTACTTCTGAGGAGTCACCCAGCACTCACTGATTTGTGTCATGAAGGGCTTGTTCTCTGCCAGCAGGCTATCTTTTGGTAATTTGCTTGTTTGTTTTAAGACATGGTTTCATTATAGCTCAGGTTCAAGTTCACTATTCAAATTGGTTATTCAGCTGAGGATGACCTTAAACTTTTGATCTTCCTGCTTCTAGTTCCTGAATGCTGGGAGTATAGTTATGCACCAGCGGGCCTGGTTTTATGGGATCCTGGAGATCAAACCCAGGGCTCAGTTCATGTAAGGCAGTTGCTCTACCAACTGAGCCAGCAAGGTACATCTAAGAGACAGATCATTTAGTTCTATTAATGTGAGCTAAAAAGGGCAGCCTAGTCTAGTTTCGGCTATCTCTAGGTAACACTTCTCAGCACATCCAGTAAACTATAAAAGTGGCATCAGTCCCTTATTTAGATGCCATTTAATACTATAATTACATGGAGGGTGTTTGTTCATCTAGTTTTGACTTCTCTGTCTGCCCTCTGAAACCATTTTCTTTTGAGTGAGGGTCATATCTCAAGAGGCAAACAGAAAACTGAAATTCATAAGTGAGCAGTGGAGAAAAGATCATCAAAACCCCTTGCAAAACGAAGAGCATGCACTCATCCATGGGGCAATCACCTGTATGCCATCCTATAATGGATATATGATGCCATTCTGCCCAGCATCCCAGCACCTGCCCTGGGAATAGCTGCTCATGGGTTGTTCCATAGAGCAAACAGTCCTTTCAGAGTGCTTTTAAATGGTGAGGACAGGAAGTTTCTTTAGAGGCTATGCCCTTAGAGGATGGTGCTATGCAAATTCTGCTATTATTATTCTTTTAGCTCAAATTTATAATTGACTTTCTGTTAAACATTGCAGCAAGTTAAATTAATTCAGTATGATTACAGTCATTAAACAAATGCCTGGCAATGGCTGCTTTCTTATTTTAGCAGTTCCTCAAACCACTGGGGTAATACCCATACAAAGCCTTTTACTCCTTTGTCACCTTAATTGAGACACACACCCAAGTTCCACAGCAGAAGCACGCATACTACTTCATAGCGATGACCATGATTTAGAGTTTCTGCTGGACTAATTTACTTTCCAGTTTTCTCGATTGCACGTTGTACTAGGTACAATCTTTGAATTCATTATAGCATACACTAGCATACACGGAGCTTAAGACAATTTCTACCTGAATTAAGGAGAGGAGGAGAGGGAGGAGAGGGAGGGGGGAGGAGGGGGAGGGGGAGAAGGAAGAGTGCTTTAAAAACCAAAACATGAGCAAGAATTCTTCCATAGACACTTCAAGGAATTCCAGCGACTTGGGCAGTGATGGTTTTAGTCCGTTTCTGTATGCAACAGTCACTTCAAGAATGACTTGTCAGCTAAGCAAGCAGAATGGAAATGATTCATTCAGTCTTGAGTTAAAACTGCAGCGGTGAAAACATATCCAAGAAATGACTGCCAGGTGGATAGACGGAGCCTGCAGTCCTGCAGCCACTGTTGACGTCCAGGGTCATTTGCCTGGTGCCACCTTAGAAACTGTCCTGCTTCTGTACAGGACATTGAACGATAACATCCTACAGGTCAGCTGACTGCTGTGTCACACTGCATTCCTGCAGATGCCAGCTCCTGCTCCCGCAGATTGCCAGTCGAGATGCGGCAAAGCAGAGGCGGACAGCTAGGCACAAAGCAACCGAGTTTTAAACTTTGATTTTCCTGCTGCTGCCTAGCGTCTCACACGAAGACCATTACCTTTGTGAAGCCAGGAGCCGAGATGCGGTCTGAATGTGCACGGCGGCTTCTGACGTGGCAACATGAATTCTCAGCTGGGCAAGTACTGCTCGGAGCTTGCTAACCAAACTGTGTGTGATGGAGTTCGGCTGCTTTCCTACCTCATATTTGGGGGGAGGGGGTGCTTTTTGTGCCATGCTGTTGTACCTGCAGGAGACAATGCTTGGCATGATTTGTCTGACTCAGGCCTGGGCAACTCACCGCACTGGCACTGTGGGACTCCCCCAGCTCCCACTTAGGGCTGGTCACGGGACTGGTGTAACCCCCGACTCCTCAGTTAGATCATGCTTTAAAGGAGAAACCAGACTCATTGGCCTAACTCAATCCCAGTCCTTTCTGGATGCAGGACTGCTGTCGCCTATCTGGGACACAACCAGCCATCAAGTGGAGCATTGCTGGGGCTGCCGTCTGTGTGCAGGTGGAGCCTGGAAGAGTGACAGTCTAATGTCCCAACTAATTGTGCTTGCTAAGCACACAGTGGTCTGGATTAGTCTTTCTGCCTGGCAGTCCTCATCAAGTTGGGCTGAAATGAGGGTGCCAGCAAGCCTGCCTTAGCCTTGGCTCCTTCCTGCACTGTGCTATGCTAGCTGCTAGGATGGGTCACTCTGACAACAAAGAAGGGTGCTTGACTTCTCTTGTGATGCTTAGAGGAGCATAATTCTTCTTCCAAGTGCTCTCTCTCTCTCTCTCTCTCTCTCTCTCTCTCTCTCTCTCTCGTGTGAGTGTGTGTGTGTGTGTGTGTGTGTGTGTGTGTGTGCGCGCGCGTGCACGCGTGTAAAATTCATCAAACCAAAGAGCCTAAGAGATATCATCATGGACATGGCTTTTAATGATTTGGGGGGAAAGAGAAAAAGAAAAATGACAGCCCGTGGAGACAGCGATTTGAGAAATCAGCACATTGAAGTGATTGCCAATCTGAACTACTGGGTTTGTGAATCCAAGCCCTAAGGGAGTAGCCGGGTAACTGAGAAGGAGATCGTAGATAAAGAAATAAAAATGACAAGCGTAATGGAGGCTCTGCGAAGGGACTGTCAGAGCGTCAGTTCATGGATGGCAATCTCGCCAGGCGGAGATTGAATAATTCATAGATGGAAACCACCCTGCCTTCACCTTCGCATTTAAACCGGGCATGAGCTGAATCGCTAATAAAATTTCAAGATAAAGTAAAATGCCAATTTGAATCTGAAGAGCTTTTCAAAGCAGATGTCGCATCCCCGAATCTTTTGGTATCTTTTCACAATTATGCTCTGAGGACCGCACTTCATCAGGAAGCACCATTACCAGGGAAAATGACTGTGATTACAATAGCAACAATAGAATGCCATCGAATGATCTCTAATTTACCTAATTTGCTAAGACTGACTGGCTTAAATACCCATTGTGTGTTGCCATGCCCGGTCCACGGATCTATCTCAAGACAGAACAAAAGTGGCGTGGTGTGTGTGCTACCTTGATTCACACAGTCTAGGGGAGAGCATTCTCCTAAGCTACAATGTCTCTGTCATCTGCTTTTCATTTCTGTCAGCTTTTTGCCTTTTTTTTCTCTAATGCTTAGCCCTAAATGCCTTTTGAAGGAAAATAGTGAGCCTGTCTTTGCTACAGAACAGCACCGACTTGTTAATTTATACACTTTAAAAAAATTTAAAACATACAAGCATGTGTCTATTTGAGGGGAGGAGAGATTTGGTGCTGGGAGAAAGGTTTAACAAGCCAACTGAGATGGCGTGTGTGTGTGTGTGTGTGTGTGTGTGTGTGTGTGTGTGTGTGTGCATCTCTCTCTCTCTCTCTCTCTCTCTCTCTCTCTGTGTGTGTGTGTGTGTGTGTGTGTCTGTATCTGTGTCTGTGTTTCCTCCATATGAAATTCTTTCCCAGGATTTGTGATCCCTGTGGTATTTTAAGAACCTCTCCAATTGCAAATTTCAGGTAGCAGAGCCAGCAATCCCCCCACGTAGCTCTTTCAGAAAGGCTGTGTGCCTCATTCCATGATGCATCAAGGCTTTCAGGCTGCATGGCTGTGTTTGTGCCTGCTCAGTGAACAGAAGTCTGTGCCAAAGAGAACTTTTGTCTGGCAGATTGTGCCACTCATCTTGGGGAGATTGTGCCATTCTGAGGAGGTGGCACGGACTATGCATCCTCCTTGGGGAGCAGAGCGGAGTCATTTAGTGGACCAGGGGCTTCTGGAATTGTCCTTCTAATAGCATGGAGACAGCATGTGGTTCATGCCAATCAGCAATACCTTTGCGTTTGAATATTTCAGTGAGGGACCGGAGGTATGTATGACTGCCATTTGAGAAGGAGATCCCAAATCCCTCTCTTAAAACCTTGGGATTTTGCTCGAGACTCAGCCCTGATGAGTTCCTTCACACTTCATTCACCTGGTCTACCCATTCCTGTGTGTTCCCCCTACCTGCCCCTACCTTTTGGTAAGGTAAGTTGTGTTTCTAGTCATTTATATAACAGGCATGGGTGTTCCTTATCATCTGCTGTTAGTAGGAATGTGCTTCTGATGCTGTTTTTTCCTCCCATCTTGTTCTCACTGTGCTGGGGCAAACTCCTAACTTTCCAGTTCCCTGTTGTCTGCGCACAAGATTAAAATGTGGCATTTTGAAGCATGACTAAAATATTGTGTTGTGTTTTGTTTTTCTGGCTGAGTACATCTAAGGCTTTAATAGTGTTTAAAGGAACGGGGGAAACAGATTTATGTCGTGAACACTTTGATTAGAAGCAGTAGGCAGTTTTCTGACTATTACCTCCGTTGCGACATTGCTTTCTTTCGGTAGCCTGCTTTTCTAACATTGGCTCCACTACTGTCGCTAGTCCAGGAAGAGGCTCTACTGAGTGACACCAGAGTGTGGGGAAGTCCACACTGCACCGACACCAGCATTTCCTTCCCTGTTCTCTAATTAAAACACAATTTTGCTTATTAGCAAAGGATTGAACTTCTGACACCTGAAAAATTTTTTTAATAGCCAAAGTTTGAGCAGGATAATCATTAAGTGAGCCAATTGGTTTTTCTGTCCAATATTTAAGTAAAACAAGTACCTGCAAATTATCTAAGAATAAGTGGAAATCAGGTTTTATAATTTGGGGAGACTCATCACAAACTACTTTTAGGTATTGGGTAAGAATAGCAAGTTGGGGAGCTGATTTTTTAATGACGAAAGGACTTAGATATCATAGTCTTGGAAAATGAGGTTGTATTTGGTTTCTTTTGGCTGTAGGTACAAGAATGTTAGTGTTTTGTATATGATATCTGTAAGACTCCTTACCGTGTGTCAGTGCTTGCCAACAATGGTACTTTCGTTTGCTCTGCCTCTCAGAAGGCAGGACTGCAGAGTCACTTAAAGATTTTAGACACCGCTGTTTCTTTGAAATCAAACTTCCTTCACAAACTTACTGGAGTGATTTTTTAAATCATGTTTTTTAAAAAACATAAGTTCCTTAGGTAATTTTTAATTCACTATTGACAGTTTTTCCCTGTTCATAGATGCTCCTCATTTACAATGCTCTAGAAATAGATGAATCAGCAAGAGAGATGGTGAGGGCAACTTTATAACTGCAGACAGCTGAAAACAAGAGCCACTGTGAAAATACACGAGCAAGGACGAATTTAGGTGAAACCTAAGTCAAGAAATAGCTCCACTGTGTGTTTTAGTTTTTGTTTAGATTTTGAAAAAAATATTGTGGTGATTGTTTATATTTTTTGTGAGTACCTGTTTTACAGGTACCAATGATGCCTTGCCTCCACGTTCCTAACTTCCCAATGCTCCGGAGAGTAAGCTACAGTAGAAAGAATGACTGAAAATTTAAATCAGTTCCTCAGAAACCCATTTATAAAACTCACAGACACAGAAACGACTCACACTTTAAGGCAGAACGTGTAAATTTTGTCACTTGGTAATTAGTTATACTGGACATCTTTTCATGAGTGTATTTTACATTCCATCTCATCATTAAAGTCCAGCTTGGAGCAAAAGCCCAAATTGAAGTAAACCGAAGTTCCTCACAGAGAATATATTAACCTTCCCTGAGCATCTGCGAGCTACTTAGCAAAGCTATGGTGGATGCATTTCACAGATAATCAAATGATGATATTCATCATCAAGCCTCATGGCTGGATTCCTCTAATTGAATTATTTTGCAAGAAGAGCAGCATAATGTATTTCCCTGATTTTTAAGTGGGTAATAATGAAAACTGTCTTTACCAAATACCCATTTTTGTGTGATCTTAGTCTGGTATCGAGAAAAAGACAAGCAAAACCAAGAAACAGATAGAGACAATGCTTTCATCATCTGGTGAATTATTTTAGACAATGGTAAGATCAAATGAGGTTGGTATCTTAACATAAAAAAAAATCAAATTATTTGGAGGCATGTGTGTCTGTGTGTGGGTATGTACATGTGAGTGCAAATACCCTTGGAGATCAAAGAGTGCACCAGATCCCCTGAACTGGAGTTACAGACAGTTGTGTGGTACCCACTTTGTGCTGGGAACTGCACTTGGATCCTCTGCAAGAGCAGTATGTGTTCTTATTTGCTGACTGAACTATCTCTCCAGGCCCAAGGTTGGTATCTTGTGTCTGTAAAGTATCAACTCAAGCTTAGATTACCATCTCAGCTCTGCCTCCAGGCAAGTTCAGCTTGACCTCTCCCAAATGCTGCTGTGATTATTGACATTTAAGTACATTTCTAATTAATAGTCACTATACATTTGTGCCAGTCTCATATCCAAGAACTCAGTTGGGTCACCTGATAGACCCCCGGAGACTGTGCTTTCTTCCCCAAATGTTGAGATCTGCTCATCCTAGTGAACTGTCCATTAATACTTTCTTTTTTCTAATGTCTAAACAAGAAAAAAAATAACTTATTTTATATAGTAAGATTTTTTTTATTTTTTTCTTTATTTATCAAAAACTGAGGGATTTTTGCCCTCCAATTTTAAAACGCAAGCTCCTGAAGGTTGCACCAGACACTCTTGATATATTCTAGAGACACTTTGTGCCACATGAAAACAGAAGTGTGCTTTCTTCTCAAAAACTCTCTGTCTTGTTCAAAATTTGCTTAAGAAGAGCACTGAAAAGTTTGAATCTAGCTAAACATTTCAGCAAGCATATCCTTAGGGATGGAGTATGTTGATATTGGCAACTTACTTTGAAATGCATCCAAAAATAAAGAGATTGATGGATGAATAGAGAGGTGGTATGTACCTAGTTAAAGTAGAAGCTTATATGGGGGCCTTTCTCCATTCTCAGTCTCCATTCCCAGGCCAGACTTCATCCACCAACGACAGGCAGTCAGGGAGACCACTGGGAATGCACCACCATCACACTCCTGTACGGAAACATGGGGACCACTGCTAATGCACCACCATCACACTCCTGTACGGAAACATGGGGACCACTGTTAATGCACCACCATCATACTCCTGTACGGAATCATGGGGACCACTGCTAATGCACCACCATCACACTCCTGTACGGAAACATGGGGACCACTGCTAATGCACCACCATCATACTCCTGTATGGAATCATGGGGACCACTGGGGATGCACCACCATCGCACTCCCGTACCGGGGTGGAAGATGTGTAAGGCACCCATCAGCAGTTCCCAGGGCTGTTCTTGCTCCTGGGCTGGAGTTCCCTCCTCTTTCCCACAGGTCCATGGGAAGGAACCTGTGGCCTCTTGAACCATCAGCGGTTGGCCTGCTTGAACTCTTTGGTTGCTCCTCTTCCTCTCCACCGTCCCCACACCTGCCCTTTCTGCCTTCTCCCAACTCCTGGTTCCCCTCCAGATACAAGAGAACAGATTTACTCACTTCCTCCCAAGTCATTCTGTTTTGTGAATTTCACAGAAATGGTTACAGGAGACAAAAATGACAGATTAGAGAATCATATGACCTCTTAAAGGGATTAATTCATTTTTCTTGATCTCAATTAAAACATAAATGATTGAGGACTATCCTCTCAAGACCTCATTTCTCATTCATGTATTCACTCCTCCCTGTCCTGAAGTGGCACCACACTTCCAGAGACCTGTGTCTGTGTAGTTCCTAAAAAGAAACCTTTCTGAGCTCCCCACATCTGCGAGTTTCCTAGGCGCCAGCTTCTGCCGCTAGCTGTGGCCCAAAGCATTTCCATCCAGGAGCAGAACAAAGTCATATGGTCCTGTCCTTTGCTTCTTAGGGATAGGATGGATCCAAGGCCTCCCATTCCAACTTTGTCACCTACACAAGCAGGTCATCAGCTTGTGGGTCTGTCCCTCAGGCCAGTGTTCTTCCTTGAGCTGAGTATGCCCTAAGATTCTTTAGATAAGTAACTTGGGTCTATGGTTGCCTGAACTACCCTCCCCAGCCCCCCCACCCTCATTCTTTTGAAATGCTCACGCTCCTGTTCTTCTGAAGTGTTATTTGGATATGACATACTGAGAAGGATCTTAGGCTCTGCAGCAACTTAAGCTTAGATTACCATCTCAGCTCTGCCTCCAGGCAAGTTCAGTTTGACCTCTCCCAAATGCTGCTGTGATTATTGACATTTAAGTGAGTTTCTAATTAATAGTCACTGTACATTTGTGCCAGTCTCATATCCAAGAACTCAGTTGGGTCACCTGATAGACCCCCGGAGACTGCTCTTTCTTCCCCAAATGTTGAGATCTGCTCATCCTAGTGAACTGTCCATTAATACTTTCTTTTTTCTAAGGTCTAAAATTACCAACTCAGTGGGGATCCCAGCAAATGATTAAGTTCTTCTAGGTAAGTGTCCCAAATCCATATGTGTGCATGCGCATTGCAAGCCAGAGGTCAGCTTCTGATGTCAGCCCTCCGGTGCTCTCTAATTTTTTTTTTTTGAGACAAAGCCTCTCACTGGGCTTGAGGCTGGCCAGTTAGCTTAGGTTGGCTGACCAGTGAGTCCTAGAGACCTGCCTGTTTCTGCCTCCTGAGTTCCGAAATTTGTTCTTCTTGTCCTCCTCCTTCCCCTCCCGACTCCTCTTCCTTTCTCTTCCCATCCCTTTCCTTCCATTATTTACCTCCTGCCCTCCCTCCTCACTAACCCTGGTTGCCTCTGTCTCTGTCTGCCAGGAACTGTACCTTCAGCCCCTACCCACTAGGCAAGTGTTTTACCACTGAGCCATACTCCTAGCCTAGTCTTTTCATCCCAGGAAATACAGCAGATGGCCAAATTTCTACCAGGGAAACACATTCTCAGACTAGCAAAAGGGACCATTGGCTAGGCCACATAGCTCATAGGGACACAGCTTGCCCTATTGTGGCTCTTGTAAAGATGAAGAGTGAGTGGAAGAGGGGGATATGTCTCCCTGAGCCTGAGATGCTCTGCATGTACAGACGCTGGAGTCCCAGGTTGCCTGCCTGGCTTCTCCCAAGGACCGTCCTCCCAAGAGTAAGTTATATATGGGCTCCTGCCTCTCACAGGTGAATGAGGAGGGACTCTAGGTGGGCTGAGTGTCCATATATGTGGGGAAGGACTTTCCCGATATGCGAGAGAGCCAGGAGTGTGCAGGGGTGGGGTGGGGGGTGAGGTTGTAGGCTGTGCACCACACTGCTGAACATTCTGGTATGGAATACTATGCGTAATGGAGAATCTTAATGTGAGTCTGACCTGAAAAAGGTGTATTTGTGGGAGTAAAACTGTGCTATTAGCATGCTGACTGAGTGTGTGCTGTTTCTTACACAGTATAAAAGACATGGTGTGGCAGCACCCATCTCTTCCCTCATCCATCTGGGTCTTACAAACACTGGCCTGTACCACAGCTGGAAGAAGCATTTGGAGGTTCCTCTAGATACCAGTTGGTTGTAGTTGTCTTTGTAGGTAACTAAATTTTTAATATTAAAACACAGGGAAGAAAAAAATCTAGAAATCCCATTCGATAGTTGAGGCATACAGTCTATATAGTTTTTGAAAGATAAAATACTAAAATATGAATGTTTCATGTTCTAGTCATATTTGCTCTAATTAATTAGAATACTGATTGCCTGCTTTCTTTCTTTCTACTGATGAATCAAAAAGGCAGGCTGGGTTTTGCACTTGATCCAGTCCCCAGTTCTGTGGTCCTTGTGAGGTCCTCACCCGATGCATGGAAAGACAATGGTTATCATCATCACTCTGAAGAGGATGCTCAGGAGCCAGGGCATCTAAGGACAAAATCTCCCTCACCCTCTGCTGAATAGTATTCAGCATGAAACAGATGAGCTTGGAAGATGAAGAGTTAAGGAATACTCAAGGAAAGGACAGTCATTCCTTCATAAAATACAACTTAGAGTAATTTCCCCAGTCGGATTTTCAAAAGAAAATTCAAGGGATACAAAGAGAAAAGATTTAGGAAATACAGGAAAGTGATGTGCCTAAGACTATGAAAGTATCTTGCATCCACAAAGTTCTGCCTATGTATTGCTAACGTGAGGTGACATAAGTACCATAAGGCTGACGTAACGGGATCTGGAGCCAGACTACCTGGATCTGAATTCTGACTCTTGGTTTGGATGCAGTTTGCCATATTCAGAAACACACGTTGAAAGGTGGTGTTGGAAGAGATTAATGTTTTTCTTGTGAGACCAATGTTCACAGGAATGGCTTAGGTGGGCGGTGACAAAGCAAAGTGGCAGCTTTGCTTCGGCTGTCTCCTCCACACACATTGTGAGGTCCTCACCTGAAGCCAGGCACATGCTAGCACCCTGCTCTTGGACTTCCAGAACCATGTGCCAAATACACAGCATCTCTTTACACATGACTCGACTCCAAGTGTCTGATCCAGCAACAGAAAAGACTAGCCTGAGTGAGGATGGAATTCTTTCCTTCTCCATTCCTTCCAGGGTCCACAACAGTGTCTTTCTCACAGGGAAGACATCAACACTCACTAAGTTAATATCTATGAAACCAAAGAGAGTGCTGGCAGGTGGTGGGTTGAAATAACAAAACTAAAGCCCAGAGAGGTTAGCAACTTGTTCCCAAACACACAGCAAATTAGTCAAACATCTGGGGTGGGATAGGGGCATCCAAACCTTAGGCCTGTTTCAGAAAATTGCACATTGCCGGAGAGCTGATTTTGGTCAAAACACAGGTTTGTATAATTTGTTGCTTCTCTAAAGGAAAAACAAAAGAATTCTAAGAAGTCACACAGTGCTTGTCCTGGTAAACACTGACTTTTCTTCTCATTATACCTTCTGCATTCTGTGTTTTTTTTCACCCTATGCTGTGATTTTACAGGCTTTTCAAGTTCATTATTTAGGATTAATTTTTATTTTAACTACGTCTGTATGTCTGTGAGTTTATGAGTGTGAGTGCTGATGCCTGAGGAGATCAGAGACTTCAAGTCTCCCTGGAGCTGGAGTTATAGGAGCTTGTGAGCTGCCCAGTGTGGATGCTGGGAACTGCTCTTAACCGATGATCTGTCTCCAGCCCTCAAGTTCATTTGTAAGTTCCCACAAGTAAGTCTGTGGAGATAGGCTACAGTCACTGTTTTCCTTGTGTGTTAGCTGTTCTGGAGAAAAGACAAGTGATATGTGATTACACATGTGCACACACAAACACACACCACACACATAAACATGTGATCACACATGCACTCACACATGCACACACGTACACATGCACCTAGGTATGTGCACACACATGTAAACATCCTTGTAGCGGGGCAAGAGATAGCATGATAAGATAACAGAAGGGTAAGAAGAAATGGGGAGAATGTATAGTAACGTAAGAAGGAAAGTAACCCCAAGCACTCTCCCTGCTTGTGGACTCTTATTAAATCCTGCACATGTAAGTAAACTCTGAGGTAGATATTACATTGCACACACCTGCCTTGTAAATGACCTAAACATTAGCATATCATGGGTATGTGTTAGAGATATGCCTCAGTCATAGAATGCTTACCTGGCACATACAAGGTCCTGGGTTCAAATCCTTAGCACTGCCAAAATAATCAGAAATAAACATAAACCCCCCCAAAAAACCAAGAAGTGTAATAGGTCTTTTAGAGCTGGTGAGATGGCATGTGTTCTGATCTCCATATATAGACAGTGGCATCACACACACACACACACACACACACACACACACACACACACACACACACTATGTAAGTAAATAAAAATTATACATATATAAAGTGGGCCTGGTGAGATGGCTCAGCATGTAAAGGCATTTGTCCCCAGCCCGACACACTGAGCTGGATTCTCAGGACCCACACAGTGTGTTGTGTTCTTGCACAGCTTTAGGGTTTGACCGACTGGGGTGGTGAGGGAGTGAAGACAAGACAAACACACAGACAGAAACGGTGGGATTGGGTGGACCGGACTCTGAGCTGGAGACGCCACAGCACCCTGGAAGCTCAACGTGTTTATTATAGACAGCCGAACAGGGAGTTGCTGCGTACAGCTGAACAAGGAGGCAGGGGCTGAGGCACTGCGGTCCTTAACTGGGCTGTGTCCTTGCCAAACAATAGGGACCACTCAGGACTTCACTCCCTCCCGACCACAGTGGAAGGAAAGAAGTGACTTTTGAAAGCTCTCCTGTGATCTCCACTCACTCAGCGTGGCACACACTCCCCTCTGAGCAAACAAAAAGTACATTTTTTTAAAAGCTGGAAGAAAAGCCTTTTGAAAAAAAAAAAAGTATGCTTCCTAAACTCTTGAACGGTGTTTTTTTTTTTAAAAAAACCTGAATCTTTTAAATGGCTGTGTATTGTTCCAATGTGTAATCCCTCTAGTGGGATGTTAAAAGTTTCTCTAGTGCTCTTTATTATACATGCAATCAGGTGACTTATTAGAATGTTAGTGTAAAACACTGAGAATATTTGGAGACTAAATTGCCTGATTTCTAGGCTGTAGTTTCATTTTAAAACTACAGATGTCTTTCTTCTCTCTTCTTTCCAAGCTGCACCCTGGATGTCTTGGACCCAGAGACAAGGCAACAGACTCTTGCTATAAAAGCATGTTCCTGGGAGGGTGAGTGATGGGAAGTGCAGCCTACAGGAAGTCGCAGGCAGGATGGAGAGGATGGAGGCTTTGAACTTGCAGAGGGTCTGGGACGTTTGGAGTCAGGGAAATTAGGTTTGGTTCCTCCTAAGGCTGGGATAATAGAACCTTGGTAGGAGACTCTGAGGATGCCTGGTGAAGACCCTGCACCCCTGTGGATCAAGGAGGTGTAAGACCAGCAGAGGGGATGGCTGTGACCATACATCCATAGAAACCAACTGGGAACCATCTTACCTAAATTCAAATATGGGCTATTTTCTACAACTCCAAGGGATGGAGGAAGAAAACTCCTAAATAGAAACAGCGAAAGACTGGGCACCAAACCTGCACCTGATCATTTCCTTAGGATGTGTTTCTGCAAACAGAATGAACCTGAGACTCAGAATGACTTAAGGCTTTCTGTGCATTTATTTTTCAAGTCTATGTGGCTTCTATTTATCTCTGACAAAATGTTATTAGGGAAAGGTGGGAGAGCAAAATTAGCCAAGCTAATTGATCATTAAGTATAATCGTCCATTAAATACAAATTTCCATTTATAATCTATTTCATCCCAGAGGATTTCAATTATTAGATTGCTTTATTGATACACCGAGGAGATAATCATTAAGTGTGTAAACAAACAATATAAATTTCCACACGAGAAAGAGAAGAATATTGATCGGCTATGCATATTGTCAGGAAGTCATCTAGAAGGGTGAAAATAGGTACTAGAATAAACAGAGGCGAGTCTCATCTCAAAACCTATCTCCCACCTCTTGGCAATTTCTCAATAGTTTTAGGACATAACCCCATTTTGTGGTCAATGGTTCAGCTGTATGAACTTGGGAAAGTGGCTTGACTTCTCTGAGCCTCCAATTTCTCTTTCATAAGCAGTGGGTAATGCTGAGACCTCATCTTGGAAAGTTTCCAGCAAAAATAAAAGAATTAAACTTGGAACTTTCTAGAACATTCCTGGTGCCCCATGAGCCTGTGAACATCTTCAGGAGCATGGAGCACAATGTCGAGCCTCTGGCCTTACTCTCCAACATGCCCTCTCCCTGTCCCCACTCCATAGGTAGACCCCAGCTGACATAAGGGTCTTGTCACACTCTCAGCTCCCATAGTCTTATTTTTCCTGACTTCCCAGGTTTCTTTTCTGTCTGGAATGAGGGCTTCACTCTTTTCTTGCATTTCTTGCTGAATGCTTCTCCTGGAGAAGTAATAAGGATTGCTGATCGCTGCTTCTATCTAGTCCTTGTCTTGGCAGACCAGCATTGTTAAGAAGATAATGGCTTTCTTTGCAAAACCCTTCAGTCTGAGCTGGACACAACTCTCAGGGCCACTTGTGATAATTAGCAGAGTATCTTAGTTGCTCCAGCATAGGAAAGTTCCCTGAGGTCAGGGAGCATGTACACTGTTCATATCAGTTGGTCCCTGTCCTCTGTCGCCATCTTAGGTACTCAATCATGGTTTATGTTTGTTCTGTTTGGTTTCTTGGTGCTAGGGATCAAACCCAAGGCTCCTATATAACAGACAAGCACTCACCACTGAGCTACCATCCCGGACTCAACCACCATCTCCTGAATGACTTCACTTGTCATAGCATAATGCAGAGTCAGGGGACAGGACACCTCATGTTAGTTTTGTTCCAAGCATTCTGCCTTCATTTCACTAGACTTACATGGAGCAAACAAGCCAGAATTGTGACACTTTCACAGATTTCATGAATTGCAGTTTCAAAAAAGATGCCATGTGGTACCCAGGATAGGTCTTTCTGATAAGATCAGTGGCCAGGATGAAAGCCGCAAGATACTGGGCAAAAAGTTTGGCATTCAAAGTGGGGCAGATCCTACCCAGCTTTGTAGATGAGCTGTGTGACTTGTTTGCTGTTTCTGGGTCTCATTTCTTAATTTAAAAAATATAGCTGAGGGCTGGGGAGATGGCTCAGTCAGCAAAATGCTTGTGGAGCAAGTGTGAGGATCCGAGTTCAATTCTCAGGACCCATGTGAAAAATCTGGGTAGGGTAGCATGTGACTGTACTCTCACAACTGAAGCAGAGATAAGGGCGTTCTGATTAGCCAGTGTAGCCTACTCAGCAACTTCAAGACCAGTGAGAGACCCTGTCTTTAAATAAAAAAGGTGGACAGAGCCTAAGGTAGGACATCCTAATTTGTCCTCTGGCTTCCAAATGCATTGTATCCCGATATTCATCCACCCCTCATAGACACACACACACACACACACACACACACACACACACACACACACACACACACATCATACCTACACACACAACTGTAGCTAGCAGCAGCTACCTTGTGATGTGAGGAGGTCTCACCACAGCACGGATTTCCAGTATTCCACCACTTAGAATATCAGCTCCTAAGTAGATGCTCAATAAAAATCTGTTGGCTATATATGAAACGAGCTAAAGACTATTGGTGATGTGTGTCGCAGAGCCCGGTGTGTGCTGGAAAGAGCTGCTAGCTGTCAAAACTCCACAGAAGCAACAGGGGCTATTGTGCTTCCCTCAGGGAATCAGGAAATACAATAAAAAAAAAAAAAGGGCCGGAGAGGTGGCTCAGCAGGTTAACGTGCTTGCCATTAGACCTGATGGCCTGACCCCCATCTCTCGGACCTACATGATGGAAGGAGAGAACCAATTCCAGGAAGTTCTGCAAGCTGTCCTCTGCCTCTGCATTCATGTTGTGGCACACATTACACCCCCATAAATAAATAAATGTAATTTTTAAAAATTAAAAAAAATCACTTTGAAAGAAGTGTGATGGGGCAGCAGCTGGGCAGTGGTAGCACACACCTTTAATCTCAGCACTCAGGAGGCAGAGGCAGGTGGATCTCCGAGTTTGAGCCCAGCCTGGACTGCAGAACGACTTCCAGGAGAGTTAGGGCTACACAGAGAAACCCTATCTCAACAAACAAACAAACAAACAAACAAGAACAACCCAAAACAACATAAAAATCAAAACCCAAAAAGGGCTATCAAGAAGGCTCAGTGGGTACAGGTACCGGCTGCCAAGCCCGAGCATGGAGTTTGATCACTGGGACCATGTGATGGAAAGAGAGAGAACTGACTCCTGTAGGTTGTGAATGCTGTCATTCATTCATACACACACACACACGCACACACACACACACACACACACACACACACACACACCCCCCCACATGGATGCCATAGCACATGCTACACAAAAAATAAATAAATGTGATTAAAATGTTAAAAAGTAAATGTATGAAAGAAATTATTTGTTATTAAGAAAGAAGTCCCATGTCACAAAGGACTGTAAAGGAAGAAAATGTCCTTAGATTAGCTTTAAATATGGTGTAGACCGGTGTAGAAAGGGGCCTCCCCTTGGTCATTCCCTTACTCTCTAGTTAACATGTCCAGGCTGACCCAGACCTGGGGAGGGTGTCCTTGTCTAGGACAGATGAGCCATTGCCATTACGGGTCCCGGTGTGGCCAAGTCTATGTGGCCATGGGAGGCAGAAAGACCAGGCGATCTCCGCACACTTGCCAAGTGCCATGCAAATGTGTTCATAAAAATAAGCACAACCTATAATCTTGTAGCATATTCTGTCTAGGGAAGTTTTGTGACTGCATTGTAAAATGCCCACAGCACATTCAAATGCTTCTATCACATCTACCTAATAGAATGTTAGACCAATTTTTAGATAAATGGTCCAAATGCATTTTATTAGTGTGAATCAATGTTGAGTTTCTGATATTTTGCTTGTACCTCATTTATTAAGTCTTTTTTCTTGACATACCTGGAATCAACTGTGAATAAGAGGTACAACATTATTCCTAGAACTGGGGAGACAAATAAACTTTGGAAATTTTCCAGTGAAGATGGAGGTGGGGCATGGCCAGCATTTCTCGTGTGTGTGTGTGTGTGTGTGTGTGTGTGTGTGTGTGTGTGTGTGTGTGTGTGTGTGTGTGTATACATAGAATATTCTGGAGACAGGGTCTCAGGTTTCCCAGTCTTGAACTTACTATGTAGTCAAAGATGACTTTAAGCTTCTACCTGCCCAGTGCTAACATTCCAGGCACACACTACCATGCTCATGTGGAGATGGAGATGGAATCCAGGACTTTTTGCACACTAAAAAAAATTCTACCAACTGAGCTACATTCCTAGCCCATAATCCTGTATTTTTATTACATCTATCTATCTATCTATCTATCTATCTATCTATCTATCTATCTATCTATATCTATGTACCCATCCATCCATCCATCCATCCATCCATCCAGGGTGTGTGTGTGTGTGTGTGTGTGTGTGTGTGTGTGTGTGTGTATGTGTGTGTTTTGTGTGGGCACACATGCCATGGCACATGTGTAGAAATCAGAGGACGATTTGTAGAAATTAGTTCTCTCCTTCTACCACGTGGGTCCCAGGGATTGAACTCAAGTCGTCAGGCTTGGCAGCAATCACACTTACATACTGAGCCATCTCACTGGCCCTCTCCTGTATAAATACATATATTTATACTGTGTGGTAATTTGAGAGGTCAAGAATGGATAGTTTTCAATTAGTGAATTGAATGATCGTATACCTAATGAAATCATTGGATAGTCTTTAAGCTTCAGGCAATGAAGTCTCTAAGTCTCTAAGACACAGAGGGTATTTCTCTACTCAAATCTTTTCATATTCAGAAAAATGAGTAGCCGACTTGAGTCTTTGGGGAGGTTTTCATATGGCCTAATGACAAGACTATTCCAAATAATATATAGAACTCAGTTGACTGATCTTGTAGCAGATAACCACTGAATATCCTGACACTGGTTCCTAATCACTTTTTTCTTTCCTGCCTCTACTACAGGTGCTGGGAACATAAATCTCTATGTCCCCTGCTTCCTGTGTCCCTGAAAGTGAGGACAAGAAAACTAAGGACCCTCACTGTTCAGTAACTACTGAGGTGATGGGAGGCAGGGCTATGGGTTCATGTGATGAAAGATGACTACCCTGTCTGGTGGTACTGCTTTCTCCTTCTTCTATCAAGTGCTGATGTGGTGCTTGGAATAGTGGTACCAGTGTCTAATCACAAGGAAAAGACAACGGCACCCAAGGCCACCAGTTCCCATTTCTTATTGCTGCTATTGCATGTGCATGTGTGTATGTGTGTTCATATGTTTGTGGGTACACATTGTGTGTGGGGGTGTGTGGAAGCCAGAGATTATCACTATGCCTGCCTGACATTAACATGGGTGCTAAAGATTTGAACTCTATACTGCATCCTTGTGTGCCAAACACTCTTCCTATTGAACCATTTCCCCACCTTCTATGGGCCCTAAATCTAGAGTTCTTGGACCACTACTGGTAGCTACTAGCCTCTAAACTCCTGAGAGAATCTATCCCTGCTCTGTTACGCCACTCTTGGTGGGTATTATATTGTTTGCAGTTGACCTCAAAGAATCTTGAGTTCACCCTAAAGATGTCATGTGACAGAAAATACATAAGTCCGATCAACTGCAGTAAATAGATCACTGTCCTATTTTGTAAGGTGCTTCCAACAGCTCTTGAGGACATTGGTTCCTTTGTTGCCCTTCTCTTCCAATTCTTTGACACCCTCCTCTCTGTCCCATTCCTAAATCTCTAGGTCTGCTTTTCTCTTCTTCTCATTATTATAATTATTATTAATTATTATTATCTTGTGGACCCCAAACTGGCTTCAAACTGGCTATTTAACTGAGGATGACCTTGAACTTCCAATCCCGCCTCATCCTCCGGAAGTCTGGGACTAGAGGTATGCGCCCCCACGCCTAATTTTATGCACTGCTGGAGATCAAATCCAAGGCCTCACTCATGATACACAAATGCTCTACCAGCTCAGCTCCAGCCCCACCTCTTAGGGCTGCTTTCTTCTTAAGGACATACATCTGTGTGTCACTTTTTCTGTAAGCTGTGCCCTGCACCACGGTTCTCCAGCAGGACACTTCTCAGTGTGGTCACTGTGCAGAGTTTCTCATGAAGTTTCCGTTGTAGATGCTGTGTCCCACTGTCCCTATGTATTGACACATGTCCCAGTTTGTATGTGTATTGGTGGAGGGGGGCAGTGATAACATTATTTTTCTTGGTTCAATATTAGCTTGAGAGATGGGGGTCACTGGATCTTCCTGTTTTAACTTCTTCACAAAACAAACTATTGAGTCACAGGTTAAGTAATCTGCTTCTACATGTCAGTAACCCTGCAGAAAGAGAGATGAACACTGGATGGGAGAGAGAAATTGCATTAGTAGTCACTGGCCACCTAGTAAATGGCAGTTTGACTATGCTATTTTCGGGTGAGCATGGATGTTCTAATGAGTAAGGTGCTGTTTCTATCAAGTTCTGGAAAAATTTATTTTTTAAAATAAGACACAGGACTAAACACAAGTCAGTTATGAATGCTTATTGCTCTTTCTGGGAGTTCAGTTCCCAGTATTCATGTTGCATGGCTCACAGTACTGATACCTCCAACTCCTGTCGATCTGATACCTCTTCAGGTACCCACAAATACAAACACACGCACGCACGCGCGCACACACACACACACACACACACACACACACACACACACACACACACACAAACATACACCAAATAATCCAACTCAATTTCTTTTAGCAAGCAAAATTATCCTTGGAAATAAGTTCTTAAGCCAGACATAGTAAAGTCATGTCTGTCACGCCAGTTCTCAGGAGGGTGAGGCAGAAGGACTGTTGTTCCAGGCCAGCCTGGGTTATATAATGAGTTCCAGGCCAGCCTGGGCTACAGTGTAAGACTTTGTCTTCCACTCCCACCCAACTCTCACCAAAGAAAGAAATTAAATTCCTGCTAAATAAAATGAGATGGCTGAGTTTTGTTTTCTCTAAGGTCAGTCCAGCTTCTTCCTTTAAAAAACCTGCTGCTTCGGGGGCTATCTCAGAAAGCATATGTATACAGGAGACTAGGAGAATGCTCATGGAATGCTGGGGTCATGGAAAGAGCATGGAAGTCATTCTCGGTGGTTTAGACCCGGTCAAAGCCAGGCCAATTTGAGCATTGTGATATGTTATTTCATAAATAGTTTAATCCAACCAATAAAAAAGGGAGGCAATAATATACAGGATAAACAAACTGAGAAATTTGAGTCATCAAGGTATTACTCCTCCATATACTTAAGTCCCAGAGGAAGTGTGCTGGCTGCATTTATGTCAAACAGCAGAAACTACAGTCATCTGAGAGGACGAAACCTCAGCTGAGAAAAACGCCTCCTTAAGATGGAGCTGTGGGCCAGCCTGTAGAGCATTTTCTTAATCAGCGATTGATGGGGAAGGGCCTAGCCCATTGTGGATGGTGCCACCCTTGGGCTGTGGTCCTGGGTTCTATAAGAAAACAGACTGTGAGCAAGACATGTAGGGCAAGCCAGTAAGCAGCACCCCTCCAGGGCTTCTGCATCAGCTCCTGCCTCCAGGTCCCTGCCCTGTTTGAGTTCCTGTGCTGACTTCTTTTGCTGATGAACAGTGATGTGGAAGTCAACAAATAAACCCTTTCCTCTCCAACTTGCTTTTGGTCACGGTGTTTCGTTGCAGCAGTAGAAACCCCAGCTGAGACAGAGGGGAAGGGAGTCGCTGTGCAGTGAGCAGCCTGGCAGACCTTGTCTTTGGAAATGGACCTGAATATCACTGGAGGGGGTGCAAACTGAAGACACCCATCACCTAAAGGCGTAAGCGGAACAGCAGCCCTGGGGGTTATTCCTACCTGTGATGTCTAGCCAAACAGGGAAGGCCTGTACAGGGAACTCGCACTCTGCAAGTATGTTAGGTTCATGGAGTAAGGCTGAGCCACTGTTTCCCACAGAAGAAAGGGGAAGAAAGTGGTGATGCCTTGACACTGAAGGGGTTAGCCTGCCCTCCTCCATCCTTGTGCTACTTTCCCTTGACACTGAAGGGGTTAGCCTGCCCTCATCCACCCTTAAACTAGTTTCCCTTGACACTGAAGGGGTTAGCCTGCCCTCCTCCATCCTTAAACTAGTTTCCCTTGACACTGAAGGGGTTAACCTGCCTCCTCCATCCTTGTGCTAGTTTCCCTTAACACTGAAGGGTGTGAGATTCAGGGACTGAATCCTTTTGTTGTAAGTCCATTTCTGAGCGCACTGGTGGAACTTTAATTCTCCTCCCTGCAGAAACGGGAGGATAGCAAGGTACCCAGTGCTGGTTTGCTGACTTCGATGGTCCTGTTGTGGTTTTGTAGAAGAATGTCCCTTGATGATAGGAAAACATACACTAAGATATTCTAGGTGATGGAACAACAGGCCACTAACATACTTCTGGATGGTTCTGATAAAGAGCTATCTGTGCAGAAACTCCAGCATCTCTGCAAATTGGTGATAATTTTGAAAAGTAAAGTATGGCACTGGGTGTGATGGTTCCCTTTGTAATCCCAGCACTTGGGAGGCTGAGACAGAAGAACTGCCACAAATTCTGAGGCTAGCCTGGCCTAGCTGTGTAGTAAAACTCTGTCTTTTAAAGGCAGACAAGATCTCCCAAACAACCCCTCAATCCCCAAAGAACTTATAAACAGTATCAAAGCAAATAATGAATCATTTAAAAACCATTATCTAACTCAGAATTAAAAAAAAAGATTTATTTTATTTAATTTAATGTGTATGTGTTTTGCTTGCATATGTTCACACCAGTTGCTTGTAGAGGCCCTGGCATAGGATCTCCTGGAACTCGAGTTACAAACAGTTGTGAGCAACCATGTGGGTACTTGGAAACAAATCTGGGTGCTCTTAACCACTGAGCCATCTCTCCGTCTCTCCCTGCAGTAATTCTTAAAAGCAAAAACCAACAATTTTCCATTGTCAAAAATAGACAACAGCTTTGTTTCTATGGAATTTGCCTGAGTATTAGCACCAATGCCACAGGGCACAAGAATGTGGGTGCCACCCACGTTCAGGGTGGGTCTTCCCCCCTCAGTCCTCTCTGGAAATACCTCACAGACACACCCAAAGGTGCACCTTAGGAATGCCCAGGGTGTTTCTTATCCAGTCAAAGTGACAGTCAAATTAACGATGCATTGCATTTGATACAGAAACCTTGCCCTGGGCATGTAGCTTAGTTAGAAGAGTGCTTGCCTGGTACACACAAAGCTATGGATTCGAGTCCCAGCACTGCATAAACCATGAGTGCTGGCTGTGCTTGTAATCCCAGCATCTGGACAGTGAAGGAAGAAAGATCAGGAGTTGGAAGTCACTAGTTAATGAGTTTCAAACCACACGGAGCCACATGAGACCCTCAAACAAAATAAGCCAAAAAAAGAAAAGAAAGAAATCTTGCCTGGTTTTGTTGTCTGGCTGACATCTCTGCTGACCCGCTGTCTGGGTTGTTTTCCCACATGATGGGGTTTGTCGATCCCTTTCCATTCCTACGATGGATTCTCTGACACTGAAGGGAAACTCCCTCAGACACTTGATTCAGAATCCAATCCAGATTAATACTGGGTCCATGTGAACCTCAGCCTCATATGAGAGTAGGTGAACTTGTATCAGCAGGAAGGAACATTCTAGATAAGCTTCCTGGGAGGCAGCTAGGTTAAAGAAGAAGACTCCTGGGGTTTGAGAGTGTGCTGGCCACTTGTATGCGCTCTTGGGCAAGTCACTTGAACTCTTATGTATCTTTTACTTATGAGACATGGAAACTGTGTCATATAACCAATGAGATGTTGTGTATGAAGTGTCACAAGCTTCTTGTACTTGAGAAGTCTGAGCATGCACTGAACACCCTGAGGTGACTGGTGTTTCAGTCTACCCAGAACAGGATGGACTGATTCTCTCCAGGCACAGCCACATTCCCACATTTCTTCAGGCTCAGTGAGAATGCTCAGTATTCCATCATTTGGGACAGGCCACGCTATCCAGCAATAACAACCAACTCCATATCTCAGTAGCTTTTAGAGCAACCAAAAGTCCATTACTACTGTTTTCTTCAAGCAAAGACCTCCGAAGGCCCTGGTGACCTTCCAGGGAAGGCTTCCCTTTGGGATAGTTCAGCCTCCTTCTTCAGACAGGGCTTTATGGTGCTGAGGCAGGAAAAAAGGGGTACAGCTGAGCTGGAGTGATTAGATGCTTGAGTCAGATAGGAAATTCAATTTCCCTCATGTTGCATTGGTAAAGACCAGACCTGTGGCCTGATTGGAATGCGAGAAGCTAAAGTAATGTAATCCCTTGAATTTCTTAAAAGCAAAAAGCAAGTGAGACCCTGTGGCTCTCTGTCTGCTGGGAAGGGAAGTTCTAGTCAAGTGTTATTAGAATTGCCAAGTTTGTAAACTCCACAAAGCCTTTGGTGGCCACTCCAGTCATCTCCACAAATGATTCCCCTCTGAAACAAGAGTGTAATGATATCTATTACATTTAACCTGCTTTCTCCTCCCCCCTTTTCATCATTTTTGCAGTTTGATGACTCAGAGCAGTGGCATTGAATCACACCAAGCATATACTATGTGCTTACCACATACTGATGGATGAACACCACTGTACAGAAACTACATTTGAAAAGGCAATGGATTGATAGATCCAAAGTCACAAGGCTGTGATGGAGCCAGAGAAAGATTTTTCTTGCATCCTGCCATTAGCCACAAGAGTGCTTTTATTACTTCCTTGAGAAAAGTTGGCCCCAGCAGAGTCATTTATGTCTGTTGGCAGTTTCCAAAGGTGATTGCCGTCTTCAGCCTTGGACTCTATTCATGCCCAGAATGTTCCGCACAGTCATAGGGCAAAACAATGTCCGGCACAATTAGAGGCAGTATCCTGACTACAGTTACTCCACAGTGCTCCTCCCAACAGAGAAAGTACAAAGCCACCACTCAGATGCTACCCCTTCTTAGTTTCATTTCCTGTTGCTGTGATAAAAGACCCCAACAAAAGGACCTTAAGGGAGAAAGGGCTCATTTAGCTCACAGTTCCAGATTATAGTCTGTTATGGTAGGGAAGTTAAGGCGGCGGGAACAGGAAGCAGCTAATAACATTACATCCACAGTCAAGAGCAAACAGTGAATTAATGCAAGCATGTTAGCGCCCACGCTTGCTTTCTTCATTTTTAGAAAGTCCATGATTCCCTGCCTAGGGAATGGTGCCACCCACAGCAAGTGGGGTTTCCAACTTCCATTAATGTAATCAAGGTAATCGTCCTCATTCATGCCTACAGACCAACTTGATCTAGACAACCCCTTGTTGAGACTGTTTTCTCAAGCGATTGTAGATTGTGTCAAGCTGACCGAGTAAAATTAACCAGCACATGCTCTGTAAAGTTATTAAGCTCCAATCAGAATTAGTTATCATTTGCATTAATAGCTTGCCTATCTTCTTTACTGGATTCTGTGAAACAGAATCAGGGAACTATTTAGAGGGAGAAAGGGGGCTGGAAAGAGGGGGATATTGATACCAGAGATCGGAGAAAGCGGGGGCGGGGGGGGATGAATGAGATTAAAGTAGAGTGATAGATATGTATACAAATGTCACAGTGAGACCCATCCCTGGGCCTGGGAAGGTGACTCAGGGAGTAAAGTGATTGCTGTGCAATCGTGAGGACCTGAGTCTGGGTCCCCAGAACCACATACAAGCCAGGAATAGCAGCATCACCCATTATTCCAGTGCTGCGGAGGTAGAGCGGGCTCTCTCACCCGCGAGGCCATCAGCTGAAACAGAGAATTATGGGTTCAGTGAGTGATGTTGTCTCAGAATGAAAAGGAAGATACCGAGCAATAGAGGAAGACACTCCGCATTGACCTCTGGCCTCCACACAGGCACAAGTACACCCCATATAGGTGCCTCCACTTGCACACATCACACCAAACACATGCACATAGAAGCCCGCTCCTTTGTATGACAACACAAATCTTAACGATAGAAAAGAGGGGAGATCTGGCCTTGTACACAGTTTTTAACCCCCTGCTCCTGAGAGGCTTCTTAGACTAACAAAGAGCAAAACTGGTGTCTGCCGAGTCAAACAGAAGCCCTGCGTTCCCTCTAAAAGCCCCAGTGGTAGCCTGCACCTTCCTTGCTTGCTGTTTTTTAAAATGGTAAATTGACATCTGCATGCAAAGAGGAACATGGAGGCAGGCTGAGTTTGTATTCTCAGCTGTTGCCCAGACCATGCCAAAAGAGAGACTTCGATTTCATTTTAGCATCCAGGAGACATCAAGTTCAATTTAATTTGATCCCCAAATGACCAAGCTGATTAATTGTCAAGTCGGGTCTTACCTCATAGTAAACCTTAATCTCTCCTAATTTGCCGTGAAATGAATGGGGGTTGGCTATTTCAGGCATGAATGCAATAGGTCTCACAGGCCTCCCCAGGCCTCCTTTCGGCCAGGTGGGGATGGCCTGGCTGCCCCCAAAGAGGAACAGGTGGAATGAAGCTTAGGTCACATGGTGGGAAGGGCCGGCAGCTGTTGAAAGCCCAGGTGTGTGTGAGTTGGCAAGGGTACAAAGCATGGAGAGTGCTAACAGCTCAAAGTCCCTGGGCTGTGCAGCTGCTTGCTTGGCACTGGCTGGGGACCCACCTGTAGTGTTGACGGGCACACCCCACTCTTAGGAGCAAGAGAACATGAAAGGTCTGGGGGAAAGAGCAGCCAGCAGCCCTTCTACAGAAGGTTGTAGGGAGCAAGCTTGCCCCCCATTGATAAAGCACGAGTGGGCTTGAGACCAGACCCCCTTGGCTCTTATTATTTACCATGCAGTCCTTGGAGGTCTAAAAAAAAGATACATGTTTTCCTTCTGTCCTGGAGTCTATTCCCAAGTACCCCTAGGAAGTAAATGGAAAAAAATTAATCCTGAGCTGGAAGGTAAATCAACAGACAAAGATATTGCCGTGGGGAGATGACAAGGAATCAAGACTGAGAGACAAAAATAAAAGCTGCCCCTGCTGGGCTGGGATGTGTGTACAAAAAAAAAAACAAACAAAAAAAAAACAAGCCCTACCAGCCAGCCTATCTTAATCTGTTCTGCCCTACACAAAGCCCTGCTGTGGCTTTCATGGGATGGCCTTAGCTCTGAAGCTATCCTTTAAGATTTAGTGCCTGTGAATTATTTGAATTCAAATGACAGCAGAGTGCCCAGGTAAAGTAGCAACCCCTTGCTACTGTGCAGGCTACAAAGGGTTGCAAGCTCCCATTCTATGGTAAAGCCAGCCCCCAGAAGAACCAGGAACCAGGCCAAGGCCATTGCCTTCTTGGTTCTCCCATCTCCGCTTATAAATACAATTACTGACCTGCTACCATGTGATTTTTTCCTCTCCTGCATCCCTTGTGGAATCAGAACCTACTTCGGGGGTACAAGGATGCTACAGATCTGCAATGTCCTCCCGAAGGCATGTGGTCCCAGCTTGGTTTTGGGAAGGGTTGGAATTATTAATTAGTGGACTTTAAGGGTCCTCAGGTCACTGGGGGTGACTCCAAAAGAGGATTAGATTGTAGGAGCCTGGTCCTTTTCTCTTACCTTTTTTGGCTTCCTGAGTTGTGGTGGGAGTGACTTTGCTGTCATATGGTGGAGTCAATCAAATCAAGGGCTGGAACCTCAAAAACTGTGAACCCAAATAAGTTTAAATTTATGTAGGCTTAAATGAATGCATCTTTTCTCTTCAGGGGTTGATTTGTCTCAGGCATTTTGTCCTAACTACAGAACACCGATGAAGACAAGACAATGACAATATGACACTTAGCACGCACTTGCCTGTGTGGGCTCGGCTGCCCTTTGGCTTGGCTGTACAACTGACTAACAAGGGCTCATAGTAGAGGGTGTCTACAAAGATTTTTCAATTTTGGAACAACATATTCTGGATCCAGCTATTTTTGTGGCCTGGAATGAAGATGCATCTATAGTACATCATGTTCCAAAGACAAAAGCTCCATTCTAAACATGCCTGAGACAGATACAGAAGGAACTGGAGTCCTCATTGCCATGGCTCTTGCTGTGGGACCAGCCTTCACTGCCAATATCTGGATCTCTCAGAACAGAGGATAACCTTATGGTTCCTAGACTTGAGGTGGGCATTCACACTCATTCAAAGGACTCTCGATTCAGAAATTCTGGATGGAGACTAAAAACTAATGCTCTAGATCCAGATCCAAACCCCAATGAGACTGATTCATCTATTGGGGAGAACAGTGTTAGAACCCCTTGGACAGCTGAACTGCCATCCACTGAAGCTACTGTTGGTTGGATTTTCACACACTCCCAACTGTACACAGAGAAACCCCATCTCGAAAACAAAACAAACAAACAAAAACAAATAAATAAACCCCAAAATCCAAACCCAAACAAAACAAAGGCATATTTGGTACCCATTGTCCAGCCTTCCCCAGCCCACCTCCTTTCCTATAGAGCTTACTATTCTACTCTGGTCAATGAAATCAACTTTTCTCAGCCTCCACATCTAGGTGAGAAAAATGCATCCTTTGCTTTTCTCTGCCTGGCTTATTCTACTAAATGAAATACCTCTATCCATGTTGTTCCAGATGATACCGTCATATGAATTTGGCTAGATGACGTTTTGTTTTGTATATATACCCATTCTTCCATAAACAGAACCCTTAGTCAGAGAATCTCAACATTTTTTTTCCTCTTCAGATGCAGTAGGATCACACCCAGGGCCTCACCCCTGCCAGGCAAGCTCTTTTCTACCGAGCTATATCCTCTGGCCCAAGAATCTCTACTTTTAACTTGGAGGCATGGTCAGAGCTAAATGGGGGAGACACGCAGGATAGGAGAGGGAACTAGAATTTGTAGAACATCAGATATCAATTCCACTTTCAAGTTTCCTGCTCTCTTTCCTTATCCCTACCCATAGAACCTGGGCGAATTCTTTATTCTAAACCTCAATTCGTCTCTGAACTTGGGGTGACAATATTTATCAGACAGACTTGTTGTCAGGCCTACTGATGATGTTAGGGACTCAGAGACAGCCTGAGTGTCAGCCCCTGGGGAGTGGGATGAATACGTGTCTCAGCATCTTCTGTAGCAGAAAAACACAACAGAATAGATGCACAAACACCAACTCACACAAGCCCCGAAAATACAGGGGCTCAGGGGGAAAAAGAAAGGGACTGAATTACCTGTAGAAATTGGACAATTCGAAAGTGATGCATATCAAGTCCTGTCCATTATGATTATCTATACTACCATTGGAATGGGTAGGAGAACAAGATCTAGACACAAAAGCTTTGGAAATAAATACAAGAGCGTCTGTCAGGCTGGTGAAGGTCTGTGTCAGACAATAGTAAGCTAAGGAGCTGACACCCTGTGGACAGGACAGTAGCAAGCAGGAGCCTGGTGGCTGCTCTCTAATGCCTATTTATTTCCTCATCTACATAATTGAGGCTATGCTTTACATAACCACTAAGAATAATTAATGCCCCAACCTCTTTCAAAGGTGCTGTCGGGCAAGTTCTCACTAACATTATATGACTGCAAAAGTCACTAGAAACTTCTGGGGCGTTTCCCTGAGGAAAGGAGTCTTCATAAAGGATTTGGAGCAAAAGTGTGTGTCAGAGAGAATGGCAATGATCTAGAATGTGGGAAACTCTCCCCTCAGCTGACCCAAGGAAGCTAGTTGTCCTCAAGGTTCACGCTGTCCTTCAAGGCAGAGAAAAATGGCCTTGGGATATGCAGGCTTGTGACGGTTCATCTTGATTAGGTTTGGAACCACCAAGGGAGACACACCTCTGGAGGTGTCTTCAAAGGCATTTCCAGAGGGGATTAATGGAAGAGAGGAGACCCATCCTGAATGTGGCTGGCACCAACCCATGGTTGGGAGCCTGGCTGAATAAAAAAGAATAAACGAGCTGAATATTAGCTTTTGTTTCCCCTTGCTTCCTGACTAGGGATGCGATGTAACTAGCCACCTCTGGCTTCTGCCACCATTTCCCGACTCTGAGAGACTGTGCCCTCTCAAACTGTGAGCCACAAGGAAGCCCGCCCTCCTGAAGTTGCTTTTGTACAGTAATTCATCACAGCAATGCTAAGACAAGCTAATACATATGCTAATACAATGCTACTACAAGCTAATACATAGGCTAATATATAACTTGGCATTAAGGCCATTATACCCTAAGAAGAAGGAGAAAAAAAACCTGTTCAAAGAAAGCAGTCTGTAAACAAACATAGAGGTACTCTAAGACATTATCAGAATGGTTTATAAAATAATTTTTGTTTAAAAGAGTAATTACTTCCTAAACCTCTGCTTCAGCTTCCCTATACGCTGCTCAACATATGCATATTTTAGAGATTGTTTTGATTGGGCAATCTCTTACAGAAAAAAGATTATGAATTCAGTTTTTCCTGTTTCTCTTTCCTAAAAACAAAGATATTCTGATTCTGTCATCTGACTTGCTTCAATAACAGTGTGTCTAGCACAGAAAACCACAGCCACACATCTGCTGCTAATAAAAGTTTGCGATCAGTGATGCCCACTGCCTTTCAAAACTTATTTCCTTCACTCTCACACTGGGCATGGACCTGGCCAAAACTTGTTTCTGTTGTCATCAGACACAATGGCATTGCATTTATTCCAGGAGGACAAATGAACAAACAGAATCTGTGTCAGCCACTGGAGGTTATTGCATGTTTCAGCGTTGATGACAAGTTGACATTTTCATTCATTAAATTGCTGAACATGCAAGTTTAAGAATTTTGTAACATTCTCAATTCTTGGTAAGACTTGTTTGCTAACTTACAAGGCTAAATGACATTTGATAAGCAAAAACACATTCTCAGAGCAGCAACCTTAAGATACTTTCTTTCTTTCTTTCTTTCTTTCTTTCTTTCTTTCTTTCTTTCTTTCTTTCTTTCTTTCTTTCTTTCTTTCTTTCTTCATTCTTTTTTCTCTTTCTTTCTTTCCTTCCTTCCTTTCTTTCCTACCTTCTTTCCTTCCTTCCTTCCTTCCTTCCTTCCTTTCTTTCTCTTTCTTTTCACAAGTAACATTGATTTAGAAGAACTGTGAGCTTTGAACCAGGCTTAAGGAAGAGGCCACTGTCTAGTCAAGAACTTCAGCAGGCCCTGGTCCCTGCTTGCAGGTCCTTAGATAAATGAGTTAGGGACAGTGTGTGTGTGTGTGTGTGTGTGTGTGTGTGTGTGTGTGTGTGTGTGTAACCCTTACTCTCCCATAGAGTGAGGGGAAAGTAAGAAATATTCCTAATAAGCTGGGAGTGAACTTAGCAGCCAGAATGGGACAGTGAGCTGTGTATTAAGAAACCCCAGAAAGAGAACAAAGTAGGCCAGAGAACGGAAACTTCAGCATGTCCAGACAATCTCAGCATTTGTTTCCATAGACTTCTGTGTTAGGCATAATCAAGGGGTTATTTCCCATGAGCATGCGGAAGGAGAAGGAGGAATGGAGGAGTGAGGATACATTGCAAACTCCTCTACTCAGCAGCTGAGGGTATCAACTGCAACCCGAAAGCGTATTTAGGCCTGGGCCCAGCTGCAGCTCAGGGGATGCCTTGCAAGTGCACAGGGTTGCGGGGAGACAAGAGTTATCAGGAATTCCCAATTGATTGTAACTCTGGTGTCATCTGCAACCTCAAGAGGGTGAGCTCTGGAACACTTTGTCTATGCATACAGGGAACCAAGGGACACTGATCAGACTCTGACCAGCTCAAAAGCCAACAGAAAGAGGATCCAGAAGACTTCCAGATCCTGTGGACACTAACAGAGCACTTGGCAGGTGCTCATGGGACCCTTTGTGAAATAATAAATGATGGCCAAGAAATAGAGTGAGGGTCAATTTGCTGCCATACTTGACTGTCCTCAGCCAGATGCACCCTTTTCAACTCTCCCTGGGGCTTCGGGGGAGGCGGCGGGGAATCAGTGACAGCTTCTCTTTAGAACACAGTAGTGAAAACACAATACGAAGGAGGCCATGGAGGGCGGGCAATGCAGACATATGCAAAATAGTATTCCAGGCAGAGCAAAGAACTACAGGCAGGAGCATGCTGGCCACTGTGGAGGGACAGGGACGAGGCCTGAGGCTGGCACTGAGTTGCAACAATGGAGGAACCATGAGGTCCAGAAGGTGATGGAGTCTGTCATGAAGTGCATCATGGTCATTTTCCTCTCCTTTCTTTAAATCTCAGTTAAAATTGAGATGAATGTAATTTGAATGGTTGCCCAAAGGAAGAGAGGAGAGAATGCCTGATGGAAGGCCATACAGCTTTCTTTGCATATATGGAGATGCCTCATGGAAAGAAGCGATTCCCCTAGAGGCATGCTGTATAGCCAGTAGCAGAAAAGCAGGATCCCTCCCTGGGGATCTTAGCCTCCTTAATAAATGAGTTTAAGAATGGTCAAAATCAGAAGCTCAAGGACAATTTTAAAAGTTTAAAAGAACAACCCCGGGACAGGCAAGCTATAAATCTGAACAGCTGCCCAGAGGAGGAGAATGGGACAGAGAAGGACATCAAAGGCCACACCATTTGAGCTAAACCAGCATGGAGGTCAGACCCAGGGAGGGCAGGCATCACATGGTGGGGAGGGGACCTTTAAGCCAAGTGCTGATAAGCGTGCTGAGAAAAGAGACAGAAGAAAGGACTGTGCTTTTCTGGGTGGTGGAGACTTAGGAAGTGTGCAGACTTGGGCAGCTGCCCATGCAGCTCTGTGAGAGAGTGCCTTTGCTGAGGCTTACTGTCAGTTACTCTTGCTCTGAGCAAACAGCTGAGGAAGTGACTCAGGGAGCACGCATGTAGTTTTGGTTCCCACGTGGACAGAGATCATCACAGTGAGGAGGGCACCATGGCAGGCTGCAGGGAGAGGACCCGGGAGTGTGGGAGGAGGAAGGGATAGAGAGTAGGGGGGGGGATGCCCCAGCTGCTCACACTGAGTTGGCAGTCAGGAAGCAGATATGGGACAGCAAGCGGGCTGGCTATAAAGCTAAGTGAGTCACTTCCTCCAGCTAGACCCCTGCCTCCCGAACATTCCATGTCCTCCCCAAACAGCCCTAGCAGCTGGGAAGCAAGTGATGAAACACCTAAGCCGGTGGCTGATACTTCCCTCAAACCACGAAGGTTGGGGAAATATGGACAAGTAGTAGGAAGAGCTGAGGAATGTGCTCCTTATAGGCACCCTTCATGGAGACTTCTTCCTACACATCAGATCACACTCTCCATGAGAATACTTACAAGAGGTTCATTCGAACAAAGTAATAGCATTACGAAATCCAGTGGGCAACTTGAAATCTTAGAGGATCTGAGCCCTTGTCCTACTCCCGTCTCCAGCGGACAGCCATTGCCCCACAGAGAAGCTTCCTGAGGAGAGAGGAGTTCTCAAGTCATACTCCTCATGGAGTCTGCAACTCGAGGGGAATCGTGCTGACCCAGCCAAGAGGAATCCAAGGAGGAGTTTGTTAATGTCAACAAGTCATTCTTGGCCCCTGCTTAAGAGCCCATTCTTCCATCTTCTGACTCAAGTGTCAAAGAGGGCACCCCAGGGAGACACCGTGATTATTCTTGCTACGGATTTGAACAAATGGCCAGAGGCTGCCTGCTGGCATGTGGACACTACAGCAAGTGTAAAGGAGAGGATACTTGAGTAAGGGCATGCCCAAGTCTCCTGTGAGGTCATGGAGAATGTCTCAGTCAACAGAGTCATTCTCCAGGGCCACCACTTCGTCTCCAATTGCCACCCCTGCTGGGACAGTAGAGCAAGGAATGGGGTTGATGGGTGCCCAGTCTTTACATCCTGGCTTCCCTTCTCTGAGACTGGACACAGTACAGCAAGCTTCCCACTCATTCTGGAAAGGACTTCAGACTTTTGCCCCCTCCTCCAGTAAGAACTAGTCTCTCTCTTTCTCTTTCTCCCCTCTCTCATTTTTTTTCTTTCTAAAATCATCCTGGGACAAAGCCAGACAAATTGGACTGTTAACTAGTATCTGTAACCAGACAAGAAGAAACTTGTCTCAAAGGAAGTTTAAAGGTAGCTTCACCATCAGGCTGAGATTTGCAAGGAGAGATTCTCAAGCCTTGAATTTCCATGGGGATCCCCCTGCAAGGAAGCTGCAGGCTCCAGCCTTGCAGGCGAAGGGGGACTTGACCACCAAGATGCCTCTAATAAGTGACAAATTCATGTGGGTAACAACTTGACATTTTTTGTGTTCAAGTCTCTGTTGAAATAGAATGTGTAAATTAATAGTCTTAGGAGACCCATGTAGAAGAAAACCAGAATGGGGATCATGAACCCCATTAGCGCACGCATCTCAAACCTCTAACGAGAAGATCTCTGGGGAATGGAGACAGAGAAGGATGCTCAGGGAATGCAGAACACTTCAAAAGCTCACAAGCATCCATTTTACAAGATGTGTAGCAGCACACTCCACTGAGTGTATAACAGACTTAAAGAATGATGGCTGGCCCTGTCTGGAGAGGAAGCAATAACTTCTCTAAAGATACTGGTTACTTTGACAAGTTATCTGTTTGGGTTTTGAGTTCTTTGGTTTGGTTTTGATTTTTCTTTTCTTTTCTTTTCTTTTCTTTTCTTTTCTTTTCTTTTCTTTTCTTTTCTTTTCTTTTCTTTCCTTCCTTCCTTCCTTCCTTCCTTCCTTCCTTCCTTCCTTCCTTCCTTCCTTCCTTCCTTTTTCAAGACAGGGTTTCTCTGTGTAGTTTTGGTGCCTGTTCTGGAACTCACTCTGTAGACCAGGCTGGCCTCGAACTCACAGAGATCCACCTGGCTCTGCCTCCCGAGTGCTGGGATTAAAGGCCTGCAATACCACCGCCCGGCTGTTTTTGGTTTTTCTGTAACTGCCTTTGGTTTTCCACACTGCCTTATGTTGTAACTCAAAATCTATTGCTCCTATCAAACCAGTTTCCCCAAAGATGAAGACCGTAATAACTACTACACTTAAAATTAAGAGCAGTCTGCTAAGTCCGAAAGAGTCATTGAGATTATGGGGGCCTGGGCAGTGGAGATGGAGAAAATGCTTAGGGGAAAAAAAAAGATCCACTTTCTGATTATTTTCTAATAAAACTGTTAATTCTTTTGGAAAATGGAAGAAATTAAATACAGATTTGTTTAAACCCAGTTGTATACTATACAATAGATTGCTTTAATCCCGTTCTGACATCTGTTATTAAATATTATTTCCATGGATAGAAGTCAGCTGAGCTGAAGTTGTCCATATTTGCAGCACTCTTCTATAGTTTTACTGTTCAAAGCTTGAGAAAGTTATATGCTATATGACACATTCAAATGTTTCACTTGCTAGAAAAATCTACTCAGCATCATAATTATGGACCTGGGAAGAGTTGGGGGTGAGAGGTGAATTAAAACACATTGTAGAGAATTCCAATGAACTAATAAAAATAAACACAGTTTAAAAATTATCATAGAATGTGGTGATATTTGAATTGTGCTGAAATGTGATTTTATTTGTATGTTAATAAATAAAGCTTGCCTGGAGATCAGAGGTCATAGCGAGCCAGGAACAGAAGTCAGGCAGTGGTAGCCCACGCCCTTAATCTGATCACATGGCAGGCAGAGTCTCTGTGTGGTCAAGGACACAGCCAAGCGTGATAACATGAGCCTTTAATCCCAGTACCAACCATAGAGACCTGGAGGTCTGTATAGACAGGTAGTGACGAGGAGGTCATGTGGCTGGGCTTGGAGCCAATGAGAAGGCAGAGCAGAAAGGCAATAAAAACACAGGTTACACAGGAAGAAGCTCTCTCTGGGGAAGCGACTGTGGTGAGGGGGAAAGATAAGGTAGCTGTGGCTCTTTGCTAGTTCTCTGATTTCTTTGGCTGTTACCTCTGTATTTGGCTCTGTGTTTCTTATTTAATAAGACTGTTTAGAAATTTGTCTACAATAGAAAGTTATACTAGTAGCAATCTTGAGTACCTACTATGAGGTACTCAAGTAGTTATCTGTAATTTATCTCTAATCTGTCCCAGCAATCTTGCCAAGCAGTATTAATATTCCTATGTTTAGATGGTAAAATAGAAACTTGTCAAAGTTTTCCAGGGTTAAGTCAAGCTTCAGCCAGGATTAGCAAAGAAGTATAGAGGCAGGCAGGATAGCTCAATGGCAGTATATGTACTTAGCGTGGTGGTCCTGGGTTCAACTCCCAGAACCAAAATAAAATGAAACGGCCTAGAATCAAGATTTGAACTTGAATCTTACTCCTAACCCACCAAAATTGTTATTTAACTTTAATAGACTTCCTTACCCTCACATGAACATAAAATGAGGCATGATTTCTTCTGCATTGCTGGAGTACCTGCTATGGTCCAAGGCCAAGTCCAGGGACTTGAGGCACACAGGCTTCAGAGCCCATTATAAGGTGGTCACAGCTGCCAGTGTGAGCTTCACAACAAGTTTTCAAATGTGTTGACCTAAAGAAGCAATAATGGGACCACTAAGTCTTAGGGGTGCTTTAGTGTAGCTCTTCTTAACCCACATGATCATGATGAAGAGCACTGCAAAGCCAGCCAGATGGCTCAGCAGATAAGGGCGTCTGTGGCCAAGCCTGAACCTGAGTTTGTTCTTCTGGACCCACAGTGGAAGGAGCAAACTGACTTCTGCAAGGTGTTCTCTGACCACATGTGCACTATGACACACACACACACACACACACACACACACACACACACACACACACACACACACACAAAATGTAATTAAAAAAGAAACATTGCAGATTTCATTTTAAAAATAAACTGTGTACATGAGCTCACATAACACAATTTCAAATGTTAGCTTGCAGATACCTTTAATCTTGTTTGAGACAGGGTCGGTCTTTCCTTGGCTTGGAATTCTACCCCATAGGCCACTCTGGCTGGCCTGTAAGCTTCCAGGGGATCCTCCTGTCCCTGCGTTCCTGGCTTGGTCATTATGGGCACACGGCACTGTGCCCAGACTTTTATGTGGGCTCTGGAGGTCTAAACTCAAGTCTGGCCAGTTATGAGGCATTTGATTTACTGACTGAGCTACAGCTCAGCCCCACAGTTTTGTTTCTGTGTTTGCACATTAAAAATGGGCAGAGTGGTGCATTGGAGGGCAGGAATATATTGCAGTTTTGGACTTCTCCATGCCTCAATTTCTTCATGGATCAAATAGAGGGTGACACTCTCTTATAGACCTACGATGAATACTCTCAGCATGCTATCCCAGAATGTTGTTGATCACTGTTCTAGGCCCACCTGTGCTTTTGTCTATCATCTGAGCTCACAGGACCTGGCCCATTAGAATCTTTTTTTTTTTAAACTGTGAAACTACTTCCCACACTTTCCCAGTCATACCTGGTTCTTCATCCAGAACCGCCCAGTATCATCTTACCGAGGACATCTCCATACAGCGCCCAAGTCTCCTTGACCTCTGCAGTTAGGTTTAGCAGGCACTTTCTCTCTGCTCTCGGATCACTTGCCTCTCACTTGCGGCACCATCTTTCTTCTCTTTGAATTATTAATTATCATCTGTGCCATGGCTTTGTTTCGTTTCCAGTCTTGGGATTAAACCCAGAGCCTTGCCCCTGTATGCGCTAGGCAAGCACGCCACCAGTGAGCTTTATTTCCAGCCCTAGGCCATATCTTAATGATCTCTGCTTCCATCCCAGTCCTCAGAACAACACTCCTACGTGATGAATGAGAGAAGAAATAGAGTGTCATCATTGAGCACGAGGACGGGGGTTCCTCTTCCTTCTCCAGGATTCACTCAGTAATTAGCTCAGCTGTCACAAAGACGTGTATGCACAGCAAGCCATTGAAATGAGTATGTTTTCCAGGGAGAATATGACTCTTTACCACTTGATAAAATTCCTGGTAGGAGTCTTAGTAAAGAAGGGATTTTGAGAGAAGATAGTCAGATGACATTCCCAAAGATTGGGCTGTACACGTCTCTCTTGAGGCATGAACATTTCATTAACACAAATACACACAAATATTTATTAAGTCCTCCAAAGCCATGCACCTGTTAATAAAACAAATGTCGACCACTGTATTAATCAATGCATTGTATATTATAAAGCATGTGACTATATAACATATAATTTTTAAGTGAGCACATAATTTTTATGTTTTTTTTTTTCCCCTCTAAGAAATGATCACTTGCAAAATGTTTAATCTCCGTTGAGTTGCTGTACTTTCTGGGAGACAGAGGAAATCATGCCTTTCTGTCTGTAGCCTATTCCCTGACCATGGTGAGCTCCTTTCTCTCCCCAGGTTCTGTTACGGCACCAACCATTCTTAAACTGGGAGGAATCTTGACTCTGCAGTCCTGCAGTCTCCGTCTCCCCCCCCCCCACCCCCACCATCCCAGAGGTTTGCCGTGGAGCTGTAAGCACAATAATGTGAAACTCGACAGATTACTGTAGAATTCTTTGTTTGTTTTCCTTGTGACCTAACTCTCATAAAATTTATTTTGTTTTTTCTTCCAAGCTTCTAGGGCATGTGGTCATATGATTCAAAGTAGGGAAAACATTGTCAAAACAGTATAATGGAATTGTCATTTTTTATGATGTTTTCATTACATAAAAAGCTTCAATGTGCAGCTCTAACAATCTAGTTTATCTGCATCTGAAAGTATCAAATGTAATGCTATAAAATAGTATTAGTATTATTTAGTATTCTCGGTGTTATGGTTTTTATTTACATCCTAAAGAAAAGCCAATAAATACAATATTAAAGTTTGTTTGGAAAATGAATGAGAAACTTGCCAGGTTAAACACACAGATACCTCCACATCACACATACACACCACACAACACACCATATACACACACACTACCCCCCCCACATACACGCCACACATACACCCTACACACCTGATAGCATACACATACACACCATACACACACACACCACACATACACACCACATACATACACATATATCCCAATACACATACCACACACCCACACACATATACACATACACTATTTACACATCCCACACACACCACACACATCACATACACACCATACACATACACCACACATATACACACCATACACACACACACAGACACACCACACACACACTACATAAACACACACATATCTCCATATTCACACCACACACATATACACATACATCACACACATATCACACACATCACACATGCAGTACACACACATAAAGATCAGATAGGCATTTCATTCTCTAGAAGTTAACTAGTATTATTTCATAACAATAAGATCATCATAGATTTTGTTTTCTTCTTTGTGTATTGCTGTAAGTCCCCTAATATTCTACAATTGCCAAATTCATTTAGCAAGAAGGATGCTTTACAATACTTGTAGATGATTTACAGGTTTGTGACTTATAAGCTTCCAAATAGAAACTTGAAAAATATCCTTTGGAGCCATTGGCATTTAGAAGAAAACTGTATGCTATTTCTAAATCTGGTTTAAACTGAAACATAATATTAATGCTACTTTGGTCTCATGCAAGAAAAATAGCATTTTAAACCATGTGCTTCTTATTAGAGACTCATGCAGATTTTAGACACAGTTTGGACTGAGGATCAAAAGAGGCTGGGCATGAGTGCAGAGGATCTTCCAAAAGAGAGGAGTCCCAGAGGAGATGATGAAAGTCCCACTGTCTTCACAGGAGGCAGAAAGAAAGATAATACATCAGATGGTGGGTCTGTCTGCATAAGACTAAGGCTGTGGGGATGGTTCAGTGCTATGCAAGACTGATGACCTGAGTTTGGATCTGCAGACCATGCATAAAACCCAAATTCAGCAGTCTAAGTGTCTGCAGTTCCAGCATGCCTACAGAAAGTGGGAAACTGAGACAGCAGAATTACCAGAAACTCACAGATCAGCTAGCATGGATACGAAACAGCAAAGAGGCCTTCTCTCAAAACAAAGCAGGAAGTGGAGACAGACTGTTGTGGGATTTCTGCCATTTGGACCAGTGACCAATGGGAGCGGTTTGGCACTATGGGCGTGGTCTTCTCTGAGGAAACATGGCCCTTTAAGAATTCATGGGGGGTGGGGGTGGGGGGGGTGGGGGGTGTATGTCTCTCTCTTGGGCTGGTCGGAGCAGGTAGCTGGCGAGCATCAGTGGAGAAAAAAAATATTTTTGTTATATTGTATATATGTTCCTTCTTCCACTTAAGATATTTTTTGTATATTGATACAAATGTAAATTATTTTTGTTATACTGTATATATGTTTCTACTTCTGTTTAGGATATTTTGGTATATTGATACAAATTAAGGTTATTTTCATCATATTGCGTTATACATTTCTACCCCTGGTTAAGACATTTTTGTATATTGCCACTATTTTGAGGTTATTGTCCTTACACTGTACATCTGTTTCTATTTTGCCTAAGATATTGTATCCACAGCTTGTTTATTTTTATAATGTGAAGCTTAGTCCTTAAGGTATGTTGGGTTAATAAGAATTACAGGTTAACAGTTACCATGTTTGCCAAACTTAGAGTCCTGTTAGTTATATTTTCTAGGCATGCAAAGATATGTTCTAAACAGAGAGGTGATCTTCAGACACTTCAAAGACCTACAGAATATGGCATTTAAAATAACTTAGAATTCTTTTGATGTGAGACATGTCTGCTCCTGGCAGCACCAATCTGCTCCCAAGAGGATGATGGGCACTGAAGACACTCTGTATGGAGTTTGTTTTCCTTTTGGCAAAACTAGCCTATTGGGCAAGAAACTGCCCTTGTGCTGTGGGATAGTCTGTATGTCAAATGCTCTGATTGGTCAATAAATAAAACACTGATTGGCCAGTGGCCTGACAGGAAGTATAGGTGGGACTAACAGAGAGGAGAACTGAGAGAACAGGAAGGGAAGAGAGGCACTGCCAGCTGCCACCATGACAAGCAGCATGTAAAGACGCCAGTAAGCCACAAGCCACGTGGCAAGGTATAGATTTATAGAAATGGATTAATTTAAGATGTAAGAACTAGATAGCTAGAAGCCTGAGCCATTAGGCCAAACAGTTTAAATAATATGTCTGTGTGTTTATTTTATAAGTGGGCTGTCGGACTGACAGGGTTTGGTGGGATCCAGAGAGAAAACTCTCCAACTACACCCTTGCCTCAACTGCTGACAGTAAGCACGCTATCCAATCTGGACAAGCAGGACACAAAAGCAACTGCTGAACTTTGCCAAGACAGGGTAGGACAGTCCTTCAAAATTTCCTGCTGCTGAAAAGGTCTGTCAGATATTTAGTCCTATACGCCAAAGTTGCCCCAATGTTACAGAGGAAACTTGGGTGACTGTCTAGGCAGCCAACTGTTTCTGTCATTCCTTGCAATTTTTGAAAGTTGCTAACTTGCACTTCCTACTTACTCAGGTAATATTATTTTTCTTCTCATGTCTTTGATGGGGTTGAAGACTAGATAATTATAGTCATAACCTCCTGAGTCTTATCTAAGGACATATTAGGTACAAGACTTAGATTCTTCATGAAAGGACAACTATTGGAATAATCTCTTAAAAATTATCTATTACCTATGGTCTGGATGTCTAGGATGTATTTCTTACTTGATAATTATTCTTGTATGTAGTTTCAATTTTTGTTAAGATTATTGTCTTTCTTTACTTCTGTACAACACATGTTAATAGTTCTTATGCATATAGTTTCTATTATGTTAGGATTAGAACCTTCCTTTTTATTTTAGACAAAAAAGAAGAAGTGTGGGATTTCTGCCATTTGGACCAATGACCAATGGGAGGAGTTGGTCTTCTCTGAGGATACATGACCCTTTAAGAATTCATGAGAGGAGGATTGCTCTCTCTCTTGGGCTGGCCAGAGCAGCCAGGAAGCAGCGGAGAAGCATGGCTTGCAGTTTGGTTCCCATAGCCCTTGGGCAGAACAGCAGGACAACAACAGCTGGATGAGCAGAGGCATCTACCTTGTTCTGTGTTTTAAGCATGCCTAACTGATTTCATCCTTTAATAAACCTTGCCTGATCCAAGAATCTCCAGTCCCGCATTAACAGACACTCAAAGGTTGTTTTTAGACCTCCACTCTGTGTGTGAGTGCATGGTGTGGGTCCTCACCCTGACATGTTCACATGCACAGAAATGAGGTCCTGCTACACTCTGAACACTCAAGATATTCCTAGGAGCAGAGCCCACAACATGCTCAAAACATAGGCTGAGGTCCTGCTACACTTTAAAAAATCTTAACAGATTTTCCTAGAAGCAGAGCCATGTAGAGCATGCCTCAGGAAGTAGCATACTACCATTGTTGTGGTTGGTTTTGAGCTCAACTTGCCACAAATTAGAACCATCTGAGCAGGGAGCCTCACCTGAAAAATTTTCCCCTTTGCCTTGATTGATGTGGGGGAGATTCACCCCAGTTGTGGGCAGCACCATCTGGTAGCAGCCCAGATGGAAAAGGGTGTGCCAGAAGGAGGCTCGTCTAGATCTACGCTCACTCGATGGGCCATCCCTCTGGTCGCTGAGTTGATTTGCCTTGTAGCTATTGTTTCCACACTTTCTTCATGGAATAGGGACCAGTGCGTGGATCTCCAGGAACCTTGCAGACCTCCTATGCTAGGTTGGGATTACCGAGGAAGCCCACTTTGTGAATGAAGTAACTGATGACTGTCAGCCCCTAGTAAGAACCCAGTATTCTGGGACCACTCCAGCTGAGTACCAGGGTCTCAGCATCTCAGGTGCGAACACACACACACACACACACACACACACACACACACACACACACATGCACGCACGCATGCATGCACGCACACACACATGCATTTCCTTCCCTTTCATTCTGTTCTTCTAGAGAACTCTGACCAAAACATCTACCTAAAAAAAATCTTCTGGACTGTTACAACGGCTCAGCAGGGATTAGCTGCTAACCCTGACAACCTGAGTTCTATCCCAGGAACCCACATGATGGAAGGAGAGGGCTGGTTCCCGAAGGCTGTCTTCTCACTCTCTCACACATATGCAAGTGCCACTCCCCCCCCCCCCCACACACACAAGGAAATACACGTAAAAGAAAGTTTAAATTTTCTTTTAAAAAAATCTTCTATTGGATACCAGGAATGAAAATAAGACACTTTTAAGTCAAGGAAAAAAAAATAAGTTCAATGAAACAAACAAAAACAACAGAGAAGACTGGACATGGTGGTGTATTCTTTTAATCCCAGGACTTAGGGGGCAGAGGCAGAAGGGTCTCTGTGAGTTTGAGGACAGTTAGATCTACATAGCAATCTCTGGGACAGCTAGGGCTACATGGAAGAGACCTGGTCTCAAAATAAAAAAACAAACAATCCCATATTTACCTCCAAGAACACACAGACAATACAGCCATCCTTCCTTGGTTTTGGCATTTGGTAGGTGTTGGTGGTGTGGGTGCTTAAGTAGAGTCCAGGAAAGCCTGAAAACACCTGTGAATGGGTATGTACAATTTCCCCTCTATGTGCACATTTACGTTTTTATGGCAAATCCATTTTTGTAACTTGTTTTGAACTCTGAAAAGGGCCAGTGGACCACCCCCTGCCAATAGAAAACTAATGTAACAGAGAAAGTGTTAGCTGTGGTCTCAGAGAAAATTGAGTCACATTTGTAATTGTTAACTGAGGGAACTCAAATGAGCTGAATTTTTAGAATTGTTATATGCTTTTTTGTTTCAATCATGTACTTTAAAGTACTGTGTAGGTACTCAGAACAGTACCACCTCCACAGTAGAAACTCTGAATGTGGTACCTAACACAGATACCTTACCCTGCAAATAGTCTGCATTCCCAGCTCGCCCTGGTTTGTCTAACAAAACCTCAGTTTTGTTCAGGGGGTTACCTAGTCAGCTTTAATTGTTGTGGCAGTTTTAATGAGGTGTCCCCCAGAGTCTCGGGCATTTGAACACCTGATTCCCAACTGATAGCTTTCTTTGGGGAGACTTAGGAGGTGTGACCTTGTTAGAGGATGTATGTCACTGGGAGTGGGCTTGGAGGTTTCAAAGTTTCACACCATTTCCAGTTCTTTCTCTCTCTCTCTCTCTCTCTCTCTCTCTCTCTCTCTCTCTCTCTCTCTCTCTCTTTCTCTCTCCCTCTCTCTCTCTCTCTCCCCCCCCCTCTCTCTCTTTCTCTCTCTCTCCCCCTCTCTCCCTCCCTCTCTCCCCCATTTTGTGCTTACAGTTCAAGATATGAACCCTCAGCTTCCTGCTCTTGCTGCCATATCTGTATGCTGCTATGTCCCTCAACCATGATGGACCTTCATCTCTCTGGAATCACAAGCCCGAATAAACTCTTCTCTCTATAAATTGCTTCTGGTCATGGTGTTTTATCACAACAATATAAAGTAACCAATACAATTATCAACTTCATATAGAATAGAGTCATCTTTGAGGAGAGCCCCCATCAGTGAATTGCTTACAATAGATTGTCCTGTGCACATGTCTTAGGGAGATTGTCTTGATTATTAATTGATGCAGGAGGGCCTAGCACCATCCCCGGGCAGGTGGTCCTATGCTATATAAAAAAGCTGATTAAACAGGAGCTGGTGAGTGAGCCAACTAGCAAGCAGCATCCTCCATGGTTCTTGTACCACCTTGGTTATAACTCCCTGGTTGGAGGTAATGCTTTGTAGAACAGCAAGCCATCCTGACTTCAATCAATGATGGACTATGCTTGCTGGTTTGTGTGTCAACTTGACACAAGCAAGAGTTATCAGAGAGGAAGAAGCCTCAGTTGAGGAAATACCTCCATGAGATGCAGCTGTAAGGCATCTTCTCAATTAGCAGTCAATGGGGGAGGGCCCAGTTCATGGTGGGTGGTGCCATGCCCAGGCTGATGGTCCTGGGTTCTATAAGAAAGCAGGCTGAGCAAGCTATGGGAAGCAAGTCAGTGAACAGCTCTCCTCCATGTCTTCTGCTTCAGCTCCTGTCTCCAGGTTCCTGTCCTGTTTGAGTTCCTGTCCTGACTTCCTTCAGTGGTGAACAGCAAATGCTGATGTGTAAGCTAAATAAACCGTTTCCTCCCCAACTTGCTTTTTGGTCATTGAATTTCAATACATCAACAGAAACCCTAAGATATGGACCATAACCAGTAAGCTGAACTAAACCCTTTCCTCCCTAAAACACTTTAGTCCAAGTATTTATCATAGCAACAGAAAGGAAACCAGATAATCATCCTCTTACATTCCTAAATTAGTATGAAGATAGAGTTGTGCCGCTTCTCATTCACCCTCTCAATCATTGGAACCATGATACACATTCCCTTAGGTACATGTCACATAACATGATAATCCTTATGGTTTTCAACACACCACAGAGCTCCACACTGAGTGGCATAAGGGCAGAGCTACAGGATATATCTCCTTGCCCTAGTACCTCTTATCATAAGGGCTCATTTCTGCCATTTTGGAACTGGTTTTCAGTCTCTGTCTATGGCTTTGAGTGTGTGTGCTCATGTACATGTACTGTGATGGCTATTCTTGGTTGTCAACTTGACTATAACTGGAATGAACTATAATCAAAAATGGAGGGCACTCTCTTGATCTGGATCTTGAGACAAGAAGACAACATGCCCATGTGGTGGTTGAGGGTGAGAGAAAGATGCCCTCCCCCAATGCCCCTGACACCTGTGGTGGGTGAGGGAGCTGACCCTCTCCCTTACCAGCTGTAGCTCTTGGTAAAGTGGACCCTGCACCTCGCCTGGGCAGCACAGTAGAGCTGACCCTATTGACAGGGGTGTGGGTGAACCTCCCCAAGAACATGAGCATGGGAGATTAGGCCCCACCCCTCATCTACCATATGGTGGTGTGGGCAGAGGAGAGATGCCCACACCACCATATGATGCCTGTAGCAGGTGGAAGAGCTGGCCCTGAGGTCATAAGAGTGGGAGAGCTGTCCCTGCCCCTCACCAGCTGCAGCACTTGGGAGAGCAGGCCCTGCACCTCACCCAGGCAACACAGTAGAGCTAGTGAAGGTGTAGGTGTGGGAAAGACACCCCTAAGGATCTGAAGCAAGAGAACTGGCCCTGCCCTTGCTAATCCCTGCAAGGGGTGAACTAGCCATGCTGGAGAGCTCACCCTGGTGGTAAAGACAGGGGAGAGCTAGCAGGCTGACCAACCCTGCAAGTACCCAGAACCAGAACCAGGGTTATAAGTTGGCTCACCCCAACATCCACCCCATATATGATCTGCTGCAGCATGTGAAAGGGCTGGTTCTGTGGACCCAAAGCTACAGGATCTTCATGACACAGGGCAACAACAGGATATCCAAGAGGAGTCCCAGAGAGAACCCAATATCCGTAGTGTAGCAGAAACCAGATACCTTAAACCAGACCAATGAATGAATCTTTGCAATGAACACTTGCACATAAAGATGTTTGGATAAATGGGTTTATTGCATGACTCACTATGCCACACTACAGCTTCTATGATGAGATTTTTCCTGTTTTTCTCTTTCTTAAATTTTATTTTATTTTATTTTGGGAGGAGGGAGGTTGCAAGAGCAGAGGGTGGATAAAAGAGATAGGAAATGAATGGGATTGAGGTGTATGATGTGAAAGACACAAAGAATAAATAAAAAGAAAGTTTAAAAAGGAAGAAGACAACATGCCTTTGACCCAGTCTTGAGGCTGGAAGACACACACTTTTAATCCAGATCTTGAAGCGGGAAGGCACACCTTCTGCTGGAAGTCTATATAAGGACAATGGAAGAAGGAAGGGTTCAGTCTTCCCCCGCTTGCCCTTACCTGTCAGCACATCCATTCCTTCCAGCATCTACAGAAGACCAGCTAAGACATCCAGCCTTGTGGGACTGAGAAAGTACTAGACTTTTGGATTTTTACATTCACAGCTAGCCATTGTTGGATTGCAGCCTGTAAGTCACACACATATATTCATTCTCTAAGTTCTGTGACTAGAGAACTCTAATACATGTACATATACATTTTATCCTGATGTTCTATTGTCCCACCAGAGAGAACATGCTGTATCGACTTACAATAACTATTCC